GACCTCAAATGACAAACTTAAGAGGAGGCAAAAAGTCATAGCAACAACATGCGTACACAGCTTAAACATAGTAGTTACATATAAACCAAAAGAACAGCTGAATTAAACCTCTTGAAGATTGCTCACCTGTCTTTGGAGATATTGTAACTTCATAGAATGATTTCTTTGCATAACTACCTGTTTCTAAGAATTACCTAATGATAGTTCACCAACTCCTCAACATCTTCTTTTTTGGTCAGTTGTGGGGCCTGAACTCTGGGCTTGGGCGCTGTCCCTGAGCTCTTTAGCTCAAGGTGAGTGCTCTACCGATTGAGCCACAATGCCACTTCCGGTTTTCTAGTGGTTTAGTGGAGAAAAGAGTCTCACAGAGTTTCCTGCCTGGGCTGGCTTTGAACCATGATCCTCAGATCTCAGCCTTCTCTAGCTAGGATTACAGGCCTGAGCCACCAGCGCCCGGCTCCTCAACATCTTTTGAGTCTTCAGAAACAGGAATGCTGGGGCTGGGAAAGTGGCTCAGTGGTAGAGTGCTTGCCTTGCATGCATGAGGCCCTGGGTTCAATTCCTCAGCACCACATAAGCAGAAAAAAAAAAGCCGGAAGGGGCGTTGTGGCTCAAGTGGTAGAGCACTTGCCTTGAGCTGAAGAGCTGAGGGACAGCGCCCAGGCCCAGAGTTCAGACCCCACGACCGGACCCAAAAAAAAAAAAAGAAACAGGAATGCTTCAATGATATTTGATTCTTCCTGGTGATGTTGGAATATGGGATCTGTTAGTGTTGTCAAAGGCAAGAAAGAGTCAGTATCAGTGACATCAGATGCTTGGATAAAGACATGAGGTGAACGAACAATAATTATTGTTTAATCATCACTTGTTTGATAACTTTGTTCTACTATGGTCGGAGACTAAATCCTTAGTAATATAAGAACTGGCTAAATCAGTGGATGATTCTTCTTGTTTAAGGTCAGTGATAGAGATTTCTTCTTTTGTTCTGACCATACTACTATTTATCAATTCTGTGCTATTTTGGTTACTGAATTTGGATACATGAGTCATTAAATGGTAGCTGTATTGTCATCTTAGGCTGATGAATTTCAACTGGGAAATTGTCTGTGTCTAGTGCATCTGGAGGTTCATGAAAATCAGATGACTGAGTATCACCAACAGTTTGGGTTGGGGTATGGAAGAAGTGATGTCCTCTGTAGCAACAGTCTGAATGATGACTCTTGGTGTGTGATGCTACACTGTGACATTGTCACTTGTGTTCAACAGATGTTCTAGGGATAAAGCATGGATAATGATCTGTTCAGGAGAAGCAGGAGCAGCAGCAGTCAGGGTTACTATGGGACTAGCAGTCAGAGTTAGAGGAAGGCTTTGACTTGAGCTTGTTTGAAGTAGGTAGAGTGCTGGTGGGCTGCAAATGGAAAGATGGAAGAATGTTAAATGTCTGTAGTGTTCCATTGTTTAATGTTACTGTTGCTAGGTTAATGGTAGAAGCAAGAGAGTCTGTTGAAGAGACATGGTAATCTGGACTGGAATCTGCAATGCTGTCACAGGACTTGGTGATATGGCTGAATTACCTGACTCTGATCTGCACATGTTGTACACTGGAATTGGAATTACTGTTTGGAACTCCAGATCCTGATTTATTCTTCAAAAAGCACTGGATGTTGGTTTTTTATTGTTGTTGTTCTCATGTAATTGTTTAAGACCTTTATTAAGACAGGGACTGAAACATCCTTATAGTTTGCCATTTGCTTTTTGATGTCCAGGGTTTACTTCAAAGCCATTGTGGGGAATGGATTGTACTCTATCCCTCAGCTAATAGATCCCTGTTTATGTCATTTTCATCAGCTACATCAAGGTCTGCTATCCTAAGGATGGGATTGATTTCAACTTCCTTGTCTACTCAGTACCCCTACTCTGTTTCCAGGTCAGGTAGTTGAACATTGCTCTACTGAGTGGGTACCCACTCGTTCAGCCACAGCTGCCCAAGACACTCCTTGTGTGACTAAGTCACCTGGCTCAGTACTTGTTTATTTATGAACCCCTCTGCAAGTCTCTTTCCTTCATCTTCTGTCAATTTCCCCATGTTGCTGGTATCCTTCATCAGTCTGCACTGACCTTTGACAGATGATGAGCTGCTTCCTAGTGCTGCCTCTGTTGTTGGCCTAATCATTGCTATGCTTATTCAGAACTCCTTGAGCATTCTTCTATAAACTGTAAACAAAGGCTGGTTCAGGCCCCATGCTGTAGAAATCTTTTGTCCTTTAACATCTCAAAGATGATTCCAGCAGCACCTGTCATTTCATATGCCTTTAGATAGTATTTTATATTGCTCATCAAGATATCAATTTCTTCTTTGGTCCACGTCCCCTGCTTCCATTTATGTCCTCTGTTAGTTAGAGAATTCTTATCTTCTTTAGTTGTAAACTATGTCTGGCTAAATGCTGATACTTCCTTATTACTCAAGGCAGTCAGTTCATCTAGTCATTCATTCTGTAACATCTGACTCCTTGTCACAGTGGTTGTAATCACGGTCATCTCAAAACTCTGATCATTTTCTTCTTCTTTTTTTTTTTTTGGTCCGGTTGTGGGGCCTGAACTCTGGGCCTGAGCACTGTCCCTCAGCTCTTCAGCTCAAGGCTAGCGCTCTACCCCTTGAGCCACAGTGTCACTCCGGCTTTTTTTCTTTTTGCTTATGTGGTGCTGAGGAATGGAACCCAGGGCCTCAGGCATGCAAGGCAAGCACTCTACCACTGAGCCACCTTCCCAGCCCTCTGATCATTTTCTGAAATGGGAGTGCAACAAGTGATATGCAAGGAGTAGATTCATCAATACTCTGATCATCCTCAGTGCACAAACAAAGCCTCTTCTGAGGGGTTCAGTACTGTCCTCTGAGTCTATTTCATCAGCATTCTGAGGGCAATGAAGAATGAGTTTCCCTTCTGTGCCAAAGCCACAGATTTCAGTGTCTTCAGTTACGGTGTTAGAATCTCCTTCAACTGTGTTCATACTCAAATCTAGACAATGGTCCTTCCCAAATCACCTTCCCCTAGAGGGCAGCATGACTTTCATGTTATTCAGACTGTTTCTCCCAAAGTCCTGTCTGTCCAACAGTCAGGAAATGAGAGCTTTCACTCTGGTGTGGTTCCTTTGTATTCCTTGGTGTATGTAAGACTACAATTTTACATTGTCCTTTTAACAGTCCATTTACATTCCTGTTTTAGTTCTGGGCACTTTGGAAGAATCAGGATAGAGGCTCCAAAAAATACCAAGATAGAGAAAGCAACCATAGACGAGTGGTTGCAGCTGCAGTACAGATTACAATGTAAATAAAAACAATGACGACCATTTACACCATTCTTTCTGTATGTCAGGCATTTTTCCAATTTGGCAACTGAGTAAATTAACACGCAAAGATTACAAACATGTACCTGAAATGGCTGTTTGGAGAGGATATATGGATAGGTTAGTTGCTGTCCTGCTTGGGTCGTAAGATTGTGGTGGCGGCATAGGTATTCAATAAAGACTGAAACAACGAGATGCTTTTCAATAATACAAGAATTCAAAATAATCTTCCAATAAGTAGTAACCTCCCATACATCAAACAGGCATAGGCTGTAACAGTATGTGGCTCTGGGGATCTCTCTTCGAAGAGAGCATGTAGGTACGACAATGGAGTCTGGCAGAAGTCCGGTGAAGCTAGAGTAAGAGGCTCGAGTGGGAAACTTGGAGCCTAGGAGGACCAAAGTGAGACTGAAGCATCCTCAGGAAGAGCTTTGTGGGTCTTACCCAAGCCATTTTACAGCGATAGCTCAATCATATATCAAAGCCACCACCTAACCACCTTCAGGGTTGGCTCACCGCACGTCCAAACCACTCCTACCATCTGAGGTTGGCTCGTCAGCGATGCGCGCCGCATTCTGTTGCTATGGAAGCTGGGAGGGGTGGGGGGAGCTTGCAGAGCCTCCAAGGGGTCTTTGGGCCATCCCAAGTCAGTAGGCCATCTGGTCCCCGCGTGGGGTGTGCGGGCTCTGGTGGGGTCAGCAAGCCCCCTGGACGGGCTGTTGGTAAGCTTCCCCTGCTTTGCGGACTTGCACTACACCCGGGGCCGTGACTAGCTCGTGTCAGTTACGTCGTGCCAAGTTACTTCTCTAACTGGTGATGTCTGCTGTTTATTTTCAGGGTTCTTCTGAGGATTGTTTAATAGTAGGTGCGCGAGCCCTTGGAAACGTTGACTCCGTTGTGGGAGTCTTGCAATCACATTCCCACAAAAAGAAAGAAAAATGAATCCTCAGCTGGAGACTGCGGATCTCCTCTCGCCTTTCGGGCCTTGGCGGGCTGGAAGACCCGGAGGCACGTCCCGAAGGCCGGCGCGCTCGGGGAGCGCCCGGGAACCGCGCGGAAGGAGGCCGGAAGCGCCTCGGCGCTGCGCTGCGGAACCGGCCGCTTCCGGCGCCTCACACCGCGGGCTGCGCTCAGGCTCCGGGCTTCGGCCGCTGCGGGCATCGCGGCACCGACTCGGAGCCAGCTGCAGCCCCCTGTAGGGCGCCCCGCGGCTTTTCTCTTCACGGCCCCCGGCCTCTCGCGCTTCCTTCCCGCGCGCCCTCCCGTTGGCGGCGGCTTCCCGGGCGAGCCCGCCGAGCGCTGGACGCGCGGACGGAGCGGCGGGGGACCCGGGGGCTGCGCATCCCCGAGTGCGCTCGGCGCTCGGCGTCCGGGGAGCCTTGGCTGCAGCGGCTTGGCGGGAGGACTCGGGGTCCGCGCCCGACCGGGCCGGCACACGCGGAGACCCGGTGGCGACCGCGACACCCTGCGCCGGGACGCCGCGAGGAATCGCGGCGCCCACAGGAAGCGGGCGCCACGCCGCACCGAGTCCCGGGGCGCCTCGGCGTCCTGAGGCCCCCCGCCCCGCCCCGCCCCGCGGGAGGCGGCCTGCCGGGCGCCTCGGGGGGCTTCGCGCGGCCCGCCGGGCGCGGCGACCCCTTTTCCGCGCGCGTGGCCCGCGTCCAAGGTGAACGCCGGCATCGCGCGACGCGGCAGGACCTCCTCGCCCGCCCGCGCTCCCACGAGTTCATTTGTTTGCTGGGAGATCTTGGTGACGGAAGGCCCAGGTACTACATTACGGAACCTGTCTCCTCAAGCGCACTCGTGCGGATTGAAAGAAACAAACCGAAACAAACCCCGGGAGTGGTGGTGAATGCAAGTAATCCCGAGAAAGATGGGTGTGGAGTTCCAGGCTGGCCGCCGCTAAATGATTAACCATTTAAGATGGCATTTCACTGGCAAACGACCGTTTTTGTATGTATTTATTGCAACAACATATTTAAGATGATGAGTAAGCAAACTGCATCTCCATTTCACTTAATTTTTTTTCATGTTTTTAGGGAGGAATTAGATATTTAATAATAGCTTAGAAATGAAAAGATTGTGGGTAATCAGTTTTGCTTTCAGTTATGGATTGCATCTCTTCTTGTATGTTGGGCATATAAAAAATGTTCCCCAAATATTTTATATATAAATATTATAATTATATATATATATACATATATATATATATATATATATATATATATATATTTGTATTTGTGGTGCTAGAAATTGAATCCAGGATCTGGTCCCAAAGTGCTGCCTCTCCTCCCCTCCCCTCCCCTCCCCTCCCCTCCCCTCCCCTCCCCTCCCCTCCCCTCCCCTCCTGGCCCTGCCTTTCTTTTTTGACAGTGCCTTACTCAAAGTGCCTTACCCAGATAGGCTTTGAGTTTGCAGTCTTCCTGCTTGGATTATAGGTGTGTACTACCACAAGTAGGTCTTGAACTACACAATGTCAGATATTCCCTAACCTTCTCAGTTTTCGTTTTTATTTTCAAGGCCTGGATTTTATTTGTCTGTAGGTGCTGAATTAGGAACAAAACACACATTTTCTGTTTTGTTGTTGTTGTTTTTGTCAGTTGTGGGTCCTGAACTTTGGTCCTGGGCGCTGTCCCTCAGCTCTTTGGCTCAAGGCTAGTGCTCTACCACTCAAGCCACAGCGCTACTTCCGGCTTTTTCTGCTTATGTGGTACTGAGGAATCGAACCCAGGGCCTCATGCATGCAAGGCAAGCACTCTACCACTGAGCCGCCTTCCCAGCCCACATTTTCTGTTTTGTTTCATTTAAAAGTAGTCTGATTATAGGGAACAGATTCCAAGTTGGAGCTTTGGTACAGTCTCAGTCTTCTACTAGTTTTCTTTAAAAGGTGAGATCACTCACTGATTCATTGATTCTCCTGGAAAGTCCATAAGTCTTTTTTTTTTTTTTTAATGTATGTGTGGTAGGCACTGGGCTGGAACCTGGGGCCTCAGGCATGGTGTTGCTCTACCACTTGAGCCATGCCTCTAGCCCAGCTTTTGCTGGTTAATTGGAGATGCAGTGTTGAGCTTTTTTAAAAGCATGGGCTGGTTTCAAATCTTGATCTTTAGATCTTAGCCTCTTGAGTAGCTAGAATTATAGTTGTAAACCACTGGCACCTGAGAATATTAATGTTCATAATTCTAATATGTTTGGTGAAATGAGGGTATGGTAGAATCAGCATTGAGCACTGAAGCACATGCTGGTCATGGGAGATGGATAATGATTGACAAGGCAAGCTGACTTAAGGGGGTGGTAGCCTAGTACTGAGGGAAATAACATTTGCAATATCATGACCAGTACATGTGGAAACATGTATATTAAAGTAGAAATAAAAGTTTCATGAAATTACTATACCTGGCCTTTACTCTGTGCAGTCCAGTCAAAATTTCCTATTGCTTTGTTCTATTTAATTAAAAAAATATTCTGACATCCAGACTATCAAACGCAAACCATCAAAATGAGTCTTTTCTACCTTTGTGAAAAATTCTGCCATTATAGATATTAATGAGATAGGTTGGTTTTTGTTTGCCTATTTTTGGTTTTTAGAGACAGTGTCTTCATGTAGTCAAGGTTGGCCTTAAACTCATGATTCTCCTGTCTTAGTTTACCAAGTGTCAGGATTGCAGGTATATACCAAACATGTTTTTTTTTTTATTGTTGTTTGTTTTTAGTGTTTTTTCATTTTTATTGTCTTTAAAAAATTTTAAATTTATTTTTAATATATATTTTATTTTTTTTTAATTTTATTTTATTTGAGAACATACTGTACAGAGGGGTTACAATTACATGGGCAGGATAATGCATACATTTCTTACCAAGCATTGCAGCCTCCTCCTTTGTTTACCCTTCACCTCCCTTCCCAGCCTCCCCCCTCCCCCCCACCCAATCATACCCCCCTCCCCCCCCACACCGACATTGTAAAGCTGGTTTTGACATGACATTTTGTACTTCTCATTGTTGCAAAGATACTGTACAGAGGGGTTACAGTTACATGAGTAAGGTAATGAGTACATTTCCTATCGAGCATTGTTACCCCCTCCTTTGCTTTTCCCCCACCATCCCTTCCCTCCCCACCTCCCCAACTCCTCCCCCCACCGAAGTTGTAAAGTTCATTTTCTCATAATGTCTTGTACATCCCATTGTTACAGTGAGTCAACCTGCATCCTTATTTCAGCATTTTGTTATTTCCCTTTCCCTCCCCAAATTAGAAAAATGTATATACAAGATGCAGGGCACCTGAATCAAATACAGTGAAAACAGGGGTTAAGTGAAGTAAGCCAGGCCCAAAGAAACATAAGTCTCATGGTTTCCCTTAGTTGCAATAACTAGTATATGTCTAGGATAAGCAGAAAAGGTCAAAAGCTATGTACATATGACCATATAAGATGATGTTAAGTGAAATGAACCCCAAGATAGGGACACAAAGGTTTTATCTTTCTTGCTGTTGTTTTTAATGTACTTATAATGTACTATGTGAGATTTTCCTTTCTTTATGGAAAGAAGCTAGAAGTTTGAGGACAGGAGCTCCTCATTTCTTATTTTTTATTTTTTTAATTTATTGTAGGGTTTGGACTCAGGGCCTGGGGGCTGTCCCTGAGCTTCTTTTACTCAAGGCTAGTGCTCTACCACTTTGAGCCACAGCCCCAATTCTGTGGTTTTAGGTGGTTAATTAGAGATAAGAGTCTCAAGGACTTTCCTGTCTGGGCTGGCTTTGAACTTGGATCCTTAGATCTCAGCCTCCTGAGTATCTAGGATTATAGGCATGGGCTGCCAGTGCTCAGCTGAGCTCCTCCACTTTTAGCCTCTAGTCTGTTTTTGTAGCATGTTCCTTCTTGTCAGTGATTTTTTTTTTTTTCCTTCCTTTTCATTTTGGTTCTAGTACTGTGGCTTGAACTCAGGACCTCATGTTCTCACTTAGCTTTTTCTGTTTAAGGCTGGTACTTGATCACGTGAACCACAGCTCCATTTCTGGCTTTTTGTTGGCTAATTAGAGATAATAGTTTCATGGCTTTGTCTTCCAGGGCTGGCTTCAAACCTCCCTCCTCAGATCTCAGCCTTCTGAGTAGATGACAGGTATGAGCCCCAGTGTCTAGTGTTAGTGACTTTATTTCAAAGGAATCACGGTGCCATTGAGCCCGGCAGTGGACTGGCCAAACCTAGATTACCGGGAAGTACAGTTCCACCTTTGGACTCTGAGCCTCCTCCCTTTTTTTTTTTTTTTAGCTCAGCTTCACTTACCCTACCCAGGGCAAAGTCAGCCTTTCTGTCTGTCTCTACCCTTCCAGCTTCTTAGTCCCTTAGTCATAACTGCTCAGAACTGGTTCTCTGATGAGGAGGTGAGGGTTGTCATTCTGGTATTTCATCTTGGGAAATGTGAAGTGGGAGCTTCTACAGCTTCCATGGTTGTCACTAGGTGGAAGGGGTGAATTTGTTCAACGTGCACTGTGTTCATGTATGGAGGTAGCACAGTGAAACCCGCATCATACTACAAATATGTACTAATTGAAATTAAAAATTCTAAGCCCAGCCCCAGAAGGGCTGGGCTCCTTCCCCTTCAAATGCCTACATGGTTTCTGGAAAAAGCCTTTAGGAGCCTTTAGGAAGCTGCTGGCAGAAAATGAGATAATCGCAAGCAGAGTCAAATAGCTACTTTTTTTTTTTTTTTTTTGGTGCGGGTCCTAGGGCTTGAACTCAGGGCCTCGGCACTGTCACTTAGCTTTTTCCATTCAAGGCTGGTGCTCTATCACTGGAGCCACTTCTGGCTTTTTGCTAAATACATGGAGATAAAAATCTCATGGACTTTCTTACTTGTGCTATTTTGAACAGTGATCCTCCCATCTTAGCCTCTTGGGTATTTGGTGCTACAGGAGTGAGCCACTGGCACCCGGTAAGAAGTTGCTCTTGATGTATTAGACTGAATCCAAACAAAGGCTATTGGGTGCCTGAAGGGGCAGAGCCCCTTGTCAACCCTTGAGGCCAGCATTGTCTGAACTCATCTTCACGTTTGCGTACACATAAGGTGTGTGAGGGGGTTGCTGCCAGGGCCCTGCTGCTCTTCCTTGGTTGAATCTGGCTAAGTACTAGCATTCCAGGACAGACCTGGTATAGGGCTGCTGTGTGGCCAGAGCTTCCTGTGCCAATCCTCTCTTTTTACTTTTGAGTGGTACACTCGTGTCATTATGTAACCCAGGCTTGGCCTCAGGCTCCCGAGTATCTGGAATTGCAGGTATGTGCCACCCTGCTGGGCTCATTGGTTCTTAATAAGAGGAGCAGTAATATAGGAATTCTTAAGGGTCATAACCCCTTTCTCCTTTTTTCCTGAAGGTACCTGGCTAAGACTTGGATTCCTCTTCCCCCGCCCCAAGATTCTCAATCATGTCTTGATGGGCTTGACTCTGCTGTGCTGACAACTTTTGGGCAGGAGAAATGGCTCTGATGAAATGGGGGCTGGGAAGGCAGAAGCTTCGTCTGCTGAAGAGGAGCTCCCTGCTGCTGAAACTCCTAGCCATTGTCTTGGCTGTGCTTCTAGTTTGTGAATTTTTTATCTATCATTTGGTCATCTCTCGGTGTGATTGGCCTGAGCTGAAAACTGCAGTCCATGGTGGTGGACAGGAACCTGTGCTGAGAGCCATGTTTTTGGCTGATACCCACTTGCTTGGGGAAATAAGAGGCCACTGGCTGGATAAATTACGAAGGTAAGGAGGAAAAGTCCAGAATTCTTCTGGAGGTCTGTCAGCTGCATGGCTTCTGGTTAGTCATTTTCCTCTCAGAGAAGGATGTTTGAGACCTTTGACCTTTTCCAATTTTGTGTTTATTGACCATCCAGTATACTCAGGCTCATGAAACTTGGGGGCTCAGATATGGGCCACTGATTAGTTTTGTGAGTTCAAACAAGTTACTGGAGCCCCTCTGAGCTCCTGCCTCCCTGTTACTTGGGACTCTCCTGACTGCTTGTTTTCATATGTGTGTGTGTAAAATATATATTGATATATATATATAAAATTTATTTTTTACAAGAAATCTCATAGCTGTGAGAAGGAGCCCATATAGCATCTGGGAGTGGTCTCCTGGCTAGGGAGAGCACAGATCTGGTTTGGTGGCTCTTCCTCACTTTGGCTAATGTGTGTTTTTTTTTCTTTGTACTGGAATAGAGCTTGAACTCAGGGCCTGACCACTGATCCTTAGCTTTGAGGCTCAAGGTTAGAATTCTACCATTTGAGCCACAGCTCTATTTTTGGCTTTTTAGTAGTTCATTGGAGATGAGGTTCTCATGGACTTTCTGTCCAGGTTTGCTTCAAACCTCAATCCTCAGATCTCATCCTCCTGAGTAGCTAGGATTACTGTTTCTTCCATTATCTCTCCCTAGCTCTGAAGGAGAGATCCCTTGAAGACTGGTGCATAGCTCAGTAGTAGAGCATTTGCCTAGAATGGGCACAGTCCTGGACTTAATGTCTAACACTGCAAAAAAAAAAGAAAGAAAGTGAAACTGAGGTTGTGTCCTATCATTTTCTAGACTTAGTGAAAAATTGGTCTAAATTGGGCATCTCTCAAAGGTGCACAGCTCTCTCAAGTCCCAGGGTTCTGTTTGTTAAGGAGAGGGGAGATGATACTGGGGCTTGAACTCAGGGCCAGCGCATTTTCCTTTAGCTTTTTCTCTGTTTCCTACGTGAATCCATGGTTCTACTTCCTGCTTTTTTGGTGGTTGAGAGGAGATAAGAGTTTCACGGACTTTCCTGGCTGAGCTGGCTTCAAACCTTGTTCTTACATCTCAGCCTCCTGAGTAACTAGGATTACTACTGTGAGCCACAGGCTCCCAGCTCCTGGGCCCTCTTAATGGAATGATGGCTAGACTCAACACAGTACAGTGGAATAGCATTTGAGAGATATGAGAGAGGCAGACTGACTCTGTTTTGATGCCTTCATTGCCCACTTTTAGTAAGATACAGACTCAATGACCTTTCCACAATGAGGGTAAGATGGTAAGAGCAGGTATGTGAAAGAAAAATGGGACCCTTTGGTTCATTCTGTAAATGACCCAGAAGACACAAATAGCTTCTTCCCAAGAAACAGGTGGATGCCTAATTTCTCCTCTGGTCCTCAAGGGAATGGCAGATGGAGAGGGCCTTCCAGACAGCTCTGTGGTGGCTGCAGCCTGAAGTTGTCTTCATTCTGGGGGACATCTTTGATGAAGGGAAGTGGAGCTCCTCTCAGGTAGGGCCCTATGGTCCAAGTGCCCTAATTTTGATTGGAGTATTTCATACAGACAGCTCAGCTCCCCAGAGCACCTTGAAGCTATTGGCTTGAGTTGAAATGCCTGGTCCTGGGGCTAGGCCTATAGCTCAGCAGTAGAATGGGTGATTAGCATGTACTTAGATTGTCAGACATCATTTAGTTGGAATGTATAGTCCTTGGAACCTTTTGGCAAGAAAACAGGCAACTGATTCTATTTCAGTTGTCATCCAAGTCAGAATACATTTGAAATGGACATTTATTTAACTTTACACTTTATTTATTTATATTTTGGGAGGCAGCATCCTGTGGCTGAAGTCCAGGCCTTGTGTTTGCTAGGCGTGAGCTATGCTAGTAAGCTATGTCCTTAGCCCAGAACTTTATACCATTTAAGCGCAATACATTATGAGAACTGTGTTACTAAAGTTTTTTTTAAGAATTGTGTCAAAGGAGCAATGGAAAACTTGGTGTGAGGCTTCTGTCTTCTGAGGGGCCTGAAACCCCTACTGGGTATTGGGGCGAAAAAAGTCCACAAACCAAAGAGAAAGGTTGTGCCCATTTGTCAGAGTACTTTGCTTATAATGTTTTTGGAATGGACGTACTCTTGCTATTCAGACTCCTAATGGTTTTTAGAAGATATTTTATTTGAGGATATTGAGACAAGAAATCTTCAGTATTTTACAGGACAGTATTAGAAGTCTATTCTTTACACAATTGTAATGTTTGTTATAATGTAACCTCTAGTTAAATATTAGATACTAGAAATAAAAAACCAAACTGGCTATAAACTAATTGTATATATTGCTTTTACAAACTAAGAACAAGAATTTATGATTTTCTAAGTTTGTTATTCTGATTTCCTGTTATTCTCAATTCAATTTTTTTTTTTTTTTGGTGCCAATACTAGGACTTGAAAATTAGGCCTTTCACTCTTGTTTAGCTTTTTGTTTACTGCTGGCACTCTACCATTTGAGCCACACTTGCACTCCTAGCTTTTTGCTTTAATTGAAGATAATTTCTTGGATTTGTCTGCCCAGGCTGGCTTTGAACTATTATCTTTAGATCTCAGCCTACTGAATAGTTAGGATTACAAGAATGAGCTACTAGCACCTGGCTGTGTTATTCTAACTTTAAATATTATTATTATTATTTTTGTCAGTCATGGGGCTTTAACTCTGGGCCTGGGCACTGTCCCTCAGCTCAAGGCAAGCACTCTACCACTTGAGCCACAGCTCCATTTCCCGTTTTTCTGGGGGTTAATTGAGGAAAGAGTCTCATGGACTTTGCTGCCTGGACTGGCTTTGAACCATGATTCTCAGATCTCAGCCTCCTGAGTGGCTAGGATTACAGGCCTGAGCCACCAGTGCCCGGTAAATATTATTTCTTAAAGCATAGACTTTGTAAATGTATTGAAGGACTTTAGCTAGCATATTTCCCCAGATTATGCCATGGTTAAAACTTCATGATGGTTGGTCATAACCCAGAAGAAGGGGGTTCTTATTAGAGTATTTATTTGTACAGTTGATATTTTTAGGCTTATATAAAAAAAAGACCTTAAGTGTGGTGCCAGTGGCTCATGCTTATAATCCTAGTTGTTCAGGAGGCTGAGATTTGAGGATTGTGGTTTGGAGCTAGCCTGGACAGAAAAGTCTATGAGATTCTTACCTCCAGTTAACCAGCAAAAATCCAGAAATGGAGCTGTGGCTCATGTGGAAGAGTGCCAGCCTTGAGTGAAAAAGCTAAGGGAAAGCATGAGGCTTTGAGTTCGAGTGGAATGACAACAATAACAACAAAATCTAGAATAACATAATTCTGAAGCTTTAACATTAAAAGCAAATGTCAGAATAATTTGTAATATATTTTAATACTTATCTTTGTTTTTCTGGCAAATGTCACTAGTTCTCATTCTCAGTGTGAGCCACAGAGGATCTGCATTCTGAATGACATTGTTACCTGTGTCTCAACTGAGGCACATCAAGAACTTCTGTGACGCCGGGCGCTTGTGGCTCAAGCCTGTAATCCTAGCTACTCAGGAGGCTGAGATCTGAGGATCGCGGTTCAAAGCCAGCCCGGGCAGGAGAGACCATGAGACTCCTATCTCCAATACACCACCAGAAAACCAGAAGTGGCGCTGTAGCTCAAGTGGTAGAGCACTCGCTTTGAGCTGAAGAGCTGAGGGACAGCGCCCAGGCCCAGAGTTCAAGCCCCACGACCGACAAAAAAAAAAAAAAAAGAACTGTGACATTTTCTGAATCTGTTCTTTGAATGTGCATGGATCTGAAGCATTTTTTAAAATCTGGAGTTCATACATAGAGTTCAGAGGATCTTGCAATATTTAAAGAATTGAATAAAAAGCATCGAGATAGCATTGGAAAAAGAGTTAAAATTTCATGCCGTATGATTTGGAACAGGGAATTACCTCCTCAGATCAAAATAGAACCCTATTTTTAGCTCAGGGAAGAGGGCTTTCTTGTTCTCACCGAGGTCCTGTGTTCTTTCAGGCCTGGGCTGATGATGTGCAGCGGTTTCAGAAGATGTTCAGACACCCAAATCATGTGCAGCTGAAAGTTGTCGTTGGCAACCATGATATTGGTTTCCACTACCAGTAAGTGGAATTTTGAATTCAGGGCCTTGTGCTTTCTAGGCCATATACTCTTACTGCTGGGCCATGCTCTTAGCCTTTTTTTTTTTTTTTGCTGGTTTTTAAATTATTTTTTTGTTGTTGGTTGTGGGGCCTGAATTCTGGGCCTGGTGCTGTCCCTCAGCTCGAGCCTAGCGCTCTACCACTTGAGCCACAGCACCATTCCAGCTTTATCTGCTTATGTGGTGCTGAGGAATCAAACCCAGGGCCTCATGCACGTAAGGCAAGCACTCTACCACTGAGCTGCCTTCCCAGCCTCCCCCCCCCAATTTTTTTAAAATAGGGGCTCTCATGTCCTTCTCAGACACAGCTTGGATATGATCCACCTGTGTTAGACTTCCTATAATAGCTAGGGTAACACACATGCATCATTAGGCCCAGTTCTTAGTTGGGAGTGGAGAATCTGTCTCAGCTGGCCTTGAACTACAACCCTTCCAATCTGAGCCTGCCAGATAGCTAGGATTATAGGCATGAGCTACTGTTGCCCTGCCTGATAACACTGGTTAATTGTCATTTTAAACCGGTTACAATTTAGGAGAAAACCTTCTTCATGCTTATTGAGGAAATTTTTTTTCCAAAGATAGAAGCTTTGGAATGGAAGCTGCTCCTTAAGGGATTTAAAATATCCTGGAAAATAGCATGGCCTCATTAAATAACTGTTGCAAGAGTGAATTATACGTGCCTTAGAAAATATCTAGCTTGAAATATGCTTATTTCTTTTTTTCTTTTGTTTTTTTTTTTGGGTCCGGTTGTGGGGCCTGAACTCTGGGCCTGGGCGCTGTCCCTCAGCACTTCAGCTCAAGGCTAGCGCTCTACCACTTGAGCCACAGCGCCACTTCCGGCTTTTTTCTTTTTGCTTATGTGGTGCTGAGGAATGGAACCCAGGGCCTCAGGCATGCAAGGCAAGCGCTCTACCACTGAGCCACCTTCCCAGCCCCTGCTTATTTCTTTTCTTTTTCTTTTTTTGGACAGGATCTCTATATAGTCAGTCTGACCTTGAACTTGTAGTCTTTATACCTCAGTCTTTTGATTGAAATTATTTTTTCCTTTGGAAGCCAGAAAAAAAATCCAATTTTGCTTTAATAGCTCACTTTATACAGTGCTGTGGTGCCTATGTCTTAGCTCATTTTAAGTACTTTCATGTATTAACGTGTTTACTCTTTATCACTGGCCCATTATTGTAGTCATTGTTTCAGTTCCAGACAGTGGGGTCCAAGGTAGCTAAGTAACTTCTCCCAGGCATTGTGGGAAGTAGTGGAGTTGAGATTTGAACCTTGATTGCCTGGGCCAATTGGAGTCTTTAACCCAAAGCTAGTCTGACCCTCAGATCTTGAAAATATTTCACGATAGTGCTAAGATTCTGACATATTTCTTTTTACAAATGAATGCAGGATGAACAGATATCTAGTAAAACGATTTGAGAAAGTGTTCAACTCTGAAAGGCTGTTTTCTTGGAAAGGAGTTAAGTGAGTATTATTTATGGATTCTTATAATGACTTTGAGTCTTTGAAGGCTTTATTTTTCTTTTTAAATGTGGGGCTGGGGGTGGACCCTGGACCTCATGGTTGTTGAATACATGCTTTACCATTGAGTTGTAAACTCCCCGTCCCCCCAACCTAGAACTTCATCTTCATTTTTCACACATGACTGACACAATTGGTCCACCCCATGTTTTCCCCTTCTGTAGATCATGGGGCTTGAACTCTGGGCTTGGGCTCTGTCCCTGGGCTCTTCTGCTCAAGGTGAGTGCTCTACTGCTTGAGCCACAGTGCCACTTCCGGTTTTCTAGTGGTTTACTGGAGATAAGAGTCTCACAGACTTTCCTGCCTGGGCTGGCTTTTGAACAGCCAACCTCAGATCTCAGCCTCCTGAGTAGGATTACAGGCGTGAGCCACCAGCGCCTTGTTCTCTTTTCTTTTATTTAGCGTTTTTACTTTATTTCATCAGCTTATTTTACTTTACAAAAGCTGTTCCCAGCCAGGTGCTGATGGCTCACACTTGCAATTCTAGCTACTCAGGCAGCTGAGATCTGAGGATTATGGTTTGAAGCCATCCAGGAGAACAAAGTCCATGAGACTATTATCTCCAATTAACTAGCAAAAAGTTGGAAGTGGAGCTGTGGCTTACATAGTAGAGTGCCAGCCTGGAGCAAGCCCCAGTACACAGAGAGAGAGAGAGAGAGAGAGAGAGAGAGAGACAGACAGAGGAGAGAGAGAGAGAGAGACGGGGGAGGGGAGGGGAGATCCCTAAATCCAAAAGCTATTTCCTTACGGTCCTAGCAGTCAATGGTAAGTATTTCAAGTGCTTCTGTACATCTGGAGTCACCCCCTTCTCATCAGCCCTAACCCTTATTAGTCTGGCCACCAGTGTAGGTCCTCTCCCAGTTCTTGTCTCTGGACCCTTTCTGGGCTGTTTGTAGCACAGTGAGGAAAGTGTGTTTACTGCCTTGCCTGGCTGTCCAATGGTGGAGGAAGAGTTGGGAGTGAAGCTTTCTTCTCTTCAGTCTTGATCTTCTCATGGGTGCCAGCACTCTGCTGGCCATGGCTGTGGCAGCCCTGGGCTGCTGTAAAGCACTTGAGATAAGGGCATGGTTGTGTGCTCCCTCTCCCTCCCTCTGTCTGGAGCACAGAGTCCCTAAATGGTAGCTTCCTTTCCTGTGTTACCATGAAGACATGGTATGCTGAGTTATTTCTACCTGGACTCTGTTTCAGAACCCTTAACCACATTGCCAATTTCAGGGCACTTGATTACTTAGCCCCTTAGCCATAGAATGGTTTAAATTTCAAGCAGTATTTATTTGTTAGTCCTGTTACTGGGGCTTGAACTCAGGGCTTCATGCTCTTTCTTAGTTTTTTTCACTCAAGGCTATACCACTTGAACCTCTTCTGGCTTTTTTTGCTGGTTAAATGGAAGTAAGAATCTCTTAGATTTGTCCGGACTGGCTTTGAACCAAGATCTTTAGATCTCAGTGTTCTTTTTTTTTTGGTCCGGTCGTAGGGCCTGAACTCTGGGCCTGGGCGCTGTCCCTTAGCTCTTCAGCTCAAGGCTAGCGCTCTACCACTTGAGCCACAGCGCCACTTCCGGTTTTTTTCTTTTTGCTTATGTGGTGCTAAGGAATTGAACCCAGGGCCTCAGGCATGCAAGGCAAGCACTCTACCACTGAGCCATCTTCCCAGCCCCAGATCTCAGTGTTCTTGGGTAACTAAGATTACAAATGTGAAGCTGGGCACTGGTAGTTCATGCCTGTAACCCTAGCTGTTCAGGAGGCTGAGATCTGAGGATCAGAGTTCAAAGCCAGCATGGGCAGGAACATCCTTGGGACTCTTATCTCCAAGTAATGACCAGAAAACAAGAAGTGGCTGCTGTGGCTCAAGTGGTAGAGCCCTAGCCTTGAGCTGAAGTGCTCAGGGACAGTGTCCAAGCCCAGAGTTCAAGCCCCATGACTGACAAAAACAAAAAACATAACAAACCAAAAGGATTATGGCTATGAACCATGTGACCTGATTTCCATGGACATTCTTCTCTCACCCCCACTCCCCAATGGACATGTTTCTGTCTGAATGCCAAGCTGAGGAATTACCTGAGCCTGTGAGCTGAGCTCAGTGATTTGGAATGTCTTGCAAGTTCAGGGTTAAAGATACTTGGCCATGTCTTCCAGTCATGCTGTTTTTGTTTGGTTAATATTGACTCTTCAAAATGGATGGAATTAGAACAAATCATGCTAAGTGAGGTAAGCCAAGTTCAGAGAGGCAAACGGTGCATGTTTTCCCTGATATGTGGAAGTTAGATCTAAAATGCACTGGGATATGACAAATTACACAGAATTCTAGATACTTGCATACATTTAGCCCAGAAGAGGATAGGCTTCAGAGAGAATCACAAAGGTGCAATACTTAAGTACCTCTTCATATGTATGTAAAGTAACATACATACAAAGATACAGAAACAAAAGACTTTTTTTTTTGTGGTCATGGGGCTTGAACTCTGGGCGTGGTTCTGTCCCTGCACTCTTCAGCTCAAGGCTAACGCTCTACCACTTGAGACACAGTGCCATTTCCTGTTTTCTGGTCATTACTTGGAGATAAGAATCTCATGGACTTTCCTGCCCAGGCTGGCTTTGAAGTGCAATCCTCAGATATCAGCCTCCTGAGTAGTTAGGATTACAGGTGTGAGCCACCGGCACCTGGCAAGACTTTTTTCTTAAATTGTTTTTTCTTTTTCTGATGACTGTATTCTTTACATTATACATGGTGTACTGACGTGCACATCTGGGGGGGGGCGTAGAATCATAGGAAAAAGGGTGAAAAAGTACAGCAGTGGAGTACACTGGCTACACTGAACACTGATAAAAGTAAACTGCAACTCAGGGAAGGGGATGGGAGGGGGGGATGGGAGAGAATGAGGGAACATGATACTATGAGACAGGAAATGTACTTATTACCTGACATATGTAAAGGTAACTCTGCTGGATACCACCTCTGAAACCACAACAAAGTGAATTAAGGGGAAAAAAAAATACTGTTTCTTGAAACAGTTGGGTAGCTTAGCTGGGCCTTACGGCTCTGGGTGTTTGTTCACACTGCTTGTGCTTTCTTTGGGAGCAGTGGAAAAACAGCTCCCAAGTACCCCAGGAGCCTGACCTTCTTCTTACTCCCATCTGCTTCAGTTTTGTGATGGTCAACAGTGTTGCACTGGAAGGGGATGGCTGTGACATCTGCTCCCAAGCAGAAGCTGAACTCATTGAAATTTCTCGTAAATTGAACTGCTCCCAAAAGGTAGGAGATAGTTGAAATGGCACGGGCCTTTAGCTCTGTATCCTCCACAGGCCCCCACACAATGCCCCCGCTGCCAGCGCCCCTGCTCTCCCACTAATGTGGACAGTGCTTGTGTGCTACATTAATGGGCTGATTGTGCCTAGCAGGTGCAGGGATCAGGCCAGTGTGGAGGTGGGCAGCAGCTCCCCTTGTCTGCCCCAGTGCTTCTGCAGGTAAGGACAAGGAGTGGGGTGTGGACTGGGTAAAGCCACCTGGCTCTCCAGAGTCCCCTCTGATCTCTCATTAAATCCTGGATTAGCATTACCCGCTCTACCGGACCAGTGATGCTAACTGCTCCGGGGAAGATGCTGCTCCTCCAGAGGAAAAAAACATCCCTTTTGTGGAGAAATATGATGTGCTTTCTCGGGAGGCCTCACAAAAGGTACCTTGTGTGCAGTGATGGGGTCTCAAGTCAGGGTTACTGCCCCTGCTTATGTGTCCTCAAGCAGCAGATCAGGGACAGCTTCACAGTGGTATGCTCACGGCCTGTATTTACCCGCTGCCAGCCTGGGCAGGGTTTCTACTGTATCTCACACTCCTATCCACCTACCTTGCTCCTTTTTTTGTGTGTATGTGCCAGTCTCTGGGACTTGAACTCAGGATCTGGGTGCTATCCCTTGGCTTTTTTGCTGGAGGCTAGAACTCTACCACTTGAGCCACAGCTCCACTTTGGTTGTTTGGTGGTTAATTGGAGATAAGCATCTCACAGACTTCCCTGGAGATCAGCATCTCATAGACTTCCCTGCCTGAGCTGACTTTGAACCATGATCCTTAGATCTCAGTCTTCTAAGTAAGTAGGATTGCAAGGTGGCTGGCTCTTTTTCTTGTTTTTTTTTTTTTTTTTTTTTTTATTATCTACTATTTCCTATTCTCAAGTCTGTAATATTCTCAGTTGTTTCTTCATTTAAAGATTCCCCATTGATTTAAATGGATTGGGAACTTAGAATCATACTTTTAGGGACTTAATTAAAAATGCAGATATTAAAGAAAAATCATATATAATATGTAATATTTGTATAAATATAAAAGAAAAATTGTGCTTGTTTTTTATTTAAAAATTTGTACCTGAATTTATTCTTAAAAGTGTGTGTGTGTATGTGTGTATATATGTGTGTATGCTAGTCTTGGAGCATGAACTCAGGGCCAGAGACTATCCCTGAGCATTCTTTGCTCAAGGTTAATAATCTACCAGTCGAGTTACAGCTCCACTTTTGACCTTTTTGGTGATTAATTGGAGGTAAGAGTTGCGTGGACTTTTCTGCCTGGGCTGGATTTGAATTGCAGTCCTCAGTTCTCAGCTTCCTGAGTAAGGATCACAGGCATGAGCCACCAGTGCCCAGTGTTTTTTCTTTTAATGCCTATCCTAGGACATGAACTCAGGGCCTGACTGCTGTCCCTGAGCTTTTTTTGCTCAAGGCTAGCAGTCCACTACTTGAGCCACACCTCCATTTCCAGCTTCTTAGACGCTAATTAGAAGGAAGAGTCTCAGACTTTCCTGCTCTGGTTTGCTTCAAACTGTGAACCTTGATCCCAGCCTTGTGTAGTTATATTATAGACATGTGCCACTGGTGCTGGCTAAAAGCATAAATTTATACTTAAGGAAAAAAATATATTACTTTTTGTGCTGGTACTAGGGCTTGAAACCAAGGCCTCAGACTCTTTCTTGGCCTTTTCCATTCAAGGTTGGCCCTCTTCCACTTGAGCTAGACCTGTAATTATGGTAAGTATATTTGTAGAATATACTTATGAACAGATTTATAAAAATAAAATATATAAAACCTGTGACAGGAAGAGTAGATTCTAAGAGGCTTAGGAAAAGCAAAACAAAGAATTCTGAGGGGAAAAAAAGAAAACCAGTCCTACATAGTCAGAATTTGTACTTGGTTCCATGGGATGAACCTGGTGGTGGCCCTGGGCCGTCAGATGAGTGGAGGCTTAGGTGCTGACTCCCTGCCCTGTGTCTCCTTGGCCTGCTCAGCTGCTGTGGTGGCTCCAGCCCCGCCTGGTCCTGAGTGGCCACACACACAGTGCCTGTGAGGTGCTCCACGCTGGAGGCGTCCCTGAGCTCAGCGTCCCATCATTCAGTTGGAGGAACAGAAACAACCCCAGTTTCATCATGGTAAAGTGAAAGTTTATTTTCATCTGTAAGCTTTCGGAAGTAGTAAAATCACACAGTAATCAACTATTTAGTTGCTGCAATCTGTAAAAATGCACAAAAGGTAGCAATAAATTCCTCTCCTTGCACACTGCATCTGATACTGCCTGTCTCTAACCTCTGCCTGGGGATGGATGAATGAATAGGGCATAACTGCATGTGTTACTGGGAGGAGTGGAGGAGCAGCTTCAAGAACGTTTTATCCTGTGTGTGGAAGATGAGGCCTCTGCTACCACACTGTGCATTCAAGTTTTAAGGATACAGGATCATTCACTCATTAGCTAGACACAGCCATCTCTTCTTTTTCCTGGCTGCCAGTGCTACCAGATTCACAAGCTGACCAAAGGTGGTGTTTCAGGGAATGATTACTTGATGCTTTAGGCCTTTTGTTTAACCATAGATTCCAGCATCCTGTTTATAATTTTATGCCCCTATACTGTATTTCTACTACGTAAAATCATGGGAACCCTTTGTGCTTTCAAAGTCCAAATAAATAAAAGCATTTGCTACTGTGATTATACTTTAGAAAGAAAAGCCAATGGAGATGTGTGGGTATTTCTGGGTAGCAGATCGCCTATTTCAGTATCAGTTGGCAGGAAAACGTGTACTTCTTGTTGTTTCTCCCTGACTATTGTGTCTCAGATTCTGTGTTGGTTTCTGGATCCATCAGGTGTCCCTACACCTGTGCCCAGGGGATGAGATTTTTTTTTTTTTTTTTCAGTACTAAGGGTTGAACTCAGGATTTCACACTTATTTGGCTGGTGCTTTACCACTTTAACCATGCCTCCAGCCTGTCTTTTTACTGGCTAGGATTAAAGGTGTGATTCACAAGTTCTTGGCAAGTTTAATAGAGTTAGCCCACCAGTTACCCTCCCCCCCCCCCCCCCCCCCCCCCCCCCCCCCCCCGCCCAAGCACACTTGACCAATGACAGTGTGGTTGATGGTGACTTGTCAGGCTGAAGATCTCTGGGTCTTGGGTGAGGAAGACTGCTTCCTTGCCCCAACCAAGAGAAGGCAGCCTATTGTCTGCTGAGTCTGGTGTTTACTCTGTAGCTTAACTTTCCATTTCTTCCCCAGGGCAGCCTGACGTCCAGAGATTATGCCCTCTCCAAGTGTTTCCTTCCTTTTGAGGACACAGTTCTGACCATGTACAGTGGAGCAGCTGGTTTCCTTGTGGTCCTCATCTTAGCTCATTTTGAGTGTTTAGCCTCACCTTTTCTGTTGGGATGGAACCTGCTCAGAATGCACAGGACAAGGTGAGAGGTTGGTTGTTCATGTGGTAACAGATATCAAAGCTAAAGACAACCTCGGCAGAGCCTACATTAGAGTCAAATGAATGAGAGCAGAGGTGTAGGCCATTTTATATACATCATGGAAACTAAATCAGTGACTGCAGAATAAATAGTTGATTGTACTGTTCACATGCTATCAGTGAAACATGTACTCTACAACAAAACTTTCCTCGTTTTTATCAAATATATGTATAATCAGGTTGCATCTGTACAGTATGTAAATGCTATGGATACTGTCACTTGCATGCATGACACACAGCCCTTGCTTCCCCAGGAAGGACCCAAAGCCCTGTGCACATTGGGGGCTTGGTGTGCACATGGCATTGGATTTGCTCTGTCCTTCTGTGAAGGCTCTCAGATTTCTATATATTATGAAGCTGTACACTGAAATGAAACTATAGATCAATGTGCAGGAAACACATTGTTTTTTTAAAAATAGATTTTAGTATTTCTGTACTAATGAATCAGATTTTTAGATAAGTATAATTTTCTACTCAAGGAGTTTTAGTTGCTACATCTCAATTTAATGCTTGCCAGTGATCAAGCCTGGAAGAAAATGGAAGATATGTCTATTGGTATTTAAAAATAAATGCTGTAATCTAAATAGTCAGTGAAGTATATTTTTTATCCTCCCCTTAAGAGTCTGGCTTTTGTTTTAAATCCAATTATGATTCCTATTTATTTTAATTGAGCCCAGGTCCCTGTGCATACTAAGTATTTATTACTGAGCTCTGCCCCAGTCTGCATCCATCTTTTGTTTATTTAGTACCAGGACTGTGGCTTGAACTCAGGGTTTCAGCCTCTTCCTTATCTTTTTGGCTCAAGGTTGGGACTCTTCCACTTGAGCCACAGCTCCACTTTCTGTGTTTTTGCTGGCTAACTGGAGATAACGAGTCTCTGCTGGGACTGGCTTGAACCAGGATCCTCAAATCTCAGCCTCCTGAGTTGCTAGGATTACAAATATGAGCCACCAGTACTTCCCATGCAGCTTTAAGAAGTAGTTCAGTTAGAGGAGAATTGTTGGCTAAGAATGGACTCGATAGAGTATATCTTTACCACTTTGTGTACGGAGTAGCTCCTCAGTTACTCTTCTTGTTTTACTGTGAAAGTACCAGAGGAACCGAGATCATGCCCATAGGATATGTCCTCTGTTAAACTGAAAGTTTTACGTAGGGCAGAGAATGGAGCAGCCAGATGGCAGCGGTAATGATATATCATCAGTCATAGCTGGTTTATCCAGTGGCCATCCTTTCATGAGAAAGGAACAGTAAACCTGGATGAGTTTACAGAATGGTAGGAAATGCTGATTTATAGTAAACTTTAGAATGTTCAAGAAAGACCAAAAGGACATTAATGGTCTCTCACTTTCATGGATTTGTGTTGTTGAAAATTTTAAGTTTGGACTTCTTTAACAGATTGAGACTTTAAGAACTGCCCTCAGAGCTGTGGCTGTATAAGACATCAAATGCGTGGCTATAGCAACTTGAATTTCTAGGTATTGTACTCAGCACACTTGGGATGATGCATTTACAGTTCTTGTACATGTGAGAAATAGCCTTATATTTTGTCTGTCTTATTTCAAATAAATATCTTAGGAGATTGAGGCTGTGACTCAGCAGGTGAGCACTTGCCTAGCATGCATTAGACCCTAGGTTTACTGTCAACACAGCAAAACAAAAGAATGAATAAATGAGTAAATAAAGCTTCATAATGCTTCACCTTCAAAAGGCCAGTGAGAACTCTTATCTTCACTCTCCTTGGCCAACCTTTGCTTTTCTCTTGCTGTTTGTTTCCTTGGACAATGAACCTGGGTCTGGAACTTTTCATGGGGGTAGGGAACCTTTTTACTGCCACAGGCTGTTTGGGTATTTATAGCATTATTTTTAGGCCACACAAAATTACAGATTCAGGCAGCCTGCCTTGGACTGCAGACCAGAGCTGACAAGAAGCTTATGTGTACATCTTATTGTTTACCAAATGTTCCCTGTCTGCTCTAAGGGAATAGCTGGTCTATTCCTTCCCAGAGATGAAGAAATACACTATCTGGAAAGAAAAAAAAAATTCCTGGTTCCTTGCAAGAAGATTTGATTGCCATTTGCGCCCTGGAGTTGAGTCCTGATCTTTGTAGCTCAGGCTCAAAGCAGTAAAAGCAGGTGGCTGTAAGTGTTTTGTGATATTAGAAAGACAACCACTGGTAAAGTGTGAATGATTTTCATATCAAGGAGAATTTTACAACGTATCAACCTGGTTAAAAAAAATAAATTCTAGATACTTTCATCCCCTGTTGTGGAGTAAGTAGCAGGTCATGTTGACATGACGCTGTCTAGCCCAATTAAAAAAAAGAAAATACCCAGCACATTTCCTTCACAGGTGGAGCCATTATCAAGGCACAGAAGTCTAGGATTTTTCTCCAGTAGTGATAGAAAAGAATATTACATTTTGTGGTCTGTACAGTATGATAAACTAGCAATAAATAAACAACAAAAAGAATATATGAAAGAAGACTATGCTCAACTATCATTAAAGTGTAGAGGGCTTGAACTCAGGGCCAGGACACTATCCCTCAGTTGTTTTGTTCAAGGCTGGTGCTCTACTACTTGAGACACACTTCTACTTCCACCTTTTTTGGTGGCTAATTGGAGATAAGAGTGTCACTGATTTTTCCTGCCTGAGCTGGTTTTGAATTACAGTCCTTGGATCTCAGCCTCCTGAGGAGCTAGGATTATAGGCATGAGTCACCAGCTATTGGATTGTTTTTAGACTGGACGCATTTTGCAGTAGTGAATGGGGTAGGTTTTCCTCTTAAGTGTAAAAGAATAAAAGAAGTGCTCTATTAAATTGCCTGCAGCTTTCAGCGACTGTAAATGTGGCTGCAGAAGCATTTCTCTTGCTGGCCTGGGATCTACTCTAAGCCTTGGGCTAGTGCAGATAACAAGGATAGCCACCTGTCTGCCTGCAGCTTTGTAAAGGGGAAAAAAACAACAACAAAAAACAGCACCTCATGGCACTAAATATTCCACAATCAAGTTTGGTAACCTGAAAAAAAAATCAAGTTCTCCTGGATGAACCAACCAATCAATCAAAGAATAAAAAGGATCTCCACCCAGAGAGACTCACTGCAGTGTTACCCCAAAATGAGGGTTGGTTGGAATGGGGAGATTTTGTGTTCCATGAAAACAAAAGCTACAGAACCAAACCTGGGGGGAACAGAGGTAGCCAGAGGCTTGGTGGTCACACGTGGTATACCCAGGACAAGACACTAGACACACGCTACGTCCTACCATGGCTTGGGGCTGACAGATACAAGTCCAGAGGAAAGCTTCCGCCTTATAGAGTGGTCACAAGGTGCGGGGGAGGCAGGTGGCGAGGATGGTGGTGGTCCTCACAGGAGTTCATACTGTTTGAGGTGCATCCGCTGGATGATGTCACGACAGTCGTTGAACACCCTACGGATGTTCTCCGTGTCCACAGCACAGGTGAAGTGTGGGTAGCAGTAGTGTTTGCCATCGCCAGTGGCCGTGCTGATTCTCTGCAAAAGAAAGCATCGGTGCTGAGGGTCACTGGCCACGAGAGGCGAACAGGGTAGTGAGACTTTTTGCAAGGATTGGAATAGCTTGGATCTGGGTCTGGCTGGCCCTTGTCACCCAGGAGCAGCTAGCAGGGTGACTTTCTAGGTTCAGCGCATGTGGCAGGGATCAGACAACATTGTCCCTGCCATAGCTAGTGTCAGTGAAGCTAGAGAGGCAGCCCAGGCAGCCCAGGACAGCTGTGGATGGGACAGAGCAGGCTGAGATTTTGCAGAAAGCCAACAGGCATCTTACCCAGCATGGTGGACAGAACTTGCTCTCATAACAAAAATGCTTTATCCTGTTGGCCTGTAGTCATAATCACCAGCAGATGCCACTGAAGAACTGAGAGTTTGGGAGGTTTCTTTTTGGTGCCAGTACTGGGGCTTAACTAAGGGCCTTGTACTTTCACTTGTTTTTTTCTGCTCAAGGCTGGTACTCTACCAGTTGAGCCACATTTCCACTTCTGGCATTTTTTTCACTGGTTGATTGTAGGTAAGAGTGTCTCTGGCTGCTGTGCTATGCTGCGGGGTGGTATTAAAGGAAAGTGCCCTGCTATCAACTGTGGGAAATTCAGGGTCAAATATGAGGACATCTCTGAGCCATAGGCTCACTACATGGGGAACGGTAGAGAGCAGGATATACGGCTTTAAAAAGTGTCCCCCAAAATTCATAGATTGAATCCTAACCCTAGCACCTCAGGAGGTGATAGTACTTGGTGGCAGGGCCTTTAAACAACTGACTAGAATTCCTTAAGGTGATCCTAATACAACTGACTGGTGTCCTTGTGAAAAGAGGAGATGAAGGCATAGATTTCCAGGGGAAAGGCCCCGAGGGGGCCTAATGAGAAGGTGCCATCAGCCAAGGGCAGAGGTTTTGGGAGAAGCCAACCCTGCTTGTACTGTGAGAAAGCATAATTCTGTTGGAGACTCATATCTCAAATAAACACTCAAAAGCCAGAAGTAGAAGTATGGGTCAAGTTGTAGAATGCCAATATTGAGCAAGAAAGCTAAGGGTACAAGGCCCCGAAGTTCAGCCCCAGTACTGGCACAAAACAAAAACAGTTGTACACTGATGGCCCACATCTGTAATCCTAGCTGCTCAGGAGGTGAATTCTAGAGAATTAGAGCCAGCCTGGGTAGATAAGTCTCCAAAACTACATCTACAAAATAACCAGCAATTAATTTGTTGTTACTGCTGTCGTTAATAAATCCTTTTTGGCGGTGAAAAAAAAAAAAACCCAGCAAAAGGCAAGGCTGGAGGTGTGGCTAAAGTGGTGGAGCACCAGTCAAGCAAATGTGAGGCTCTGAGTTCAAAATGCAGTAACAACAATAAAGTAAAAATAAATAAATGGTCAAGGGGGAGGGCAAATGGGAGAAAATGAGGGAGGGGGGTAACACTGTTCCATAAGAAAGTACTCATTACTTTATGTAACTGTAACCCTTCTCAACATCATCTTTACAATACAATAAAATAAAAAAAACAAGTGAAATAAACGTCAAGTCTCAGGCCTTCTGCATGGTGGGTCACCTGCTGTTTGTAGCCCAACTCCCCGAGGCCTCTCTGAAGACATCTCAGATGAGCTTGTAACCAGAAGACTCACAATGCTAAGTGTCAAGGCCTATGTGTCAACCTTAGGATGCCTGTGAGGGAGGGCAGCCCATCCCTTGGCTTTGTAGGAACTTCATTTGGTGAAGAAGATCTTTTTTGGAGATTGGCAGGATCTTGGGGACCTAGTATAAGAGATGGCCCACAAATTAACTGGGGCAGGATAAAGGCTAGCCATCCCAGCCTTCTCCATTACAAACCCCAGATGTTCTCTCCTGCAAGCCAGGTAAGACTGGCCCACCTGCTAGGTGTCCCTGATCTTCCTCAGTGGACTGTCGGACCAACGGAAGTCACCTCTGACCACCTTGAGGCCTGCAACTGTTTGTCTGTGTATACCTTTCTCACTTCTTGACTCCATTTCTCTCGATTTAACCAAAGGCACACACATGTCTGTTTCCCAAAAATGGCTGAAGATGTACTAATGTGCTGTCTTTCTGTGGCTAGTGTAATCTTTCTCTGCCCTTCCCTATGTCAGTTGGCATATATGGGTGAGTGGCTGGACCTGACATGTGGCACTCTTGGGGTTTGGGCCTGTTGCCTAAGAACCTGGTTTCATGAATACCTAGTTCTCCCACTCCTGGCTCTCTGGTTCTAAGTTATTTCTGCTGTGAAGATGGTTCCTGCTTCCCCCTGTGGGAGGAAGTGGTCTTGTCTGACACCAACCCTTGGTGGTAAGTCCCCAAATTGTGCAGAGACTGGTTCCCTTGTCAGAATGCACTTAGTTAAAGGAGATCTCTTCACAGTTCAAACTCAGCCTCTCCCTCAGAAAAAAGTTTCACACTTTCAGCACCCTTTTCATGATCTAGGTTCCTTTAAGTACTAAGGTGCTCTTACTTTTCCTTCCTTCCTTCCTTCCTTCCTTTCTCTTTCTTTTTCTCCCCCCCTCCCTTTCTCTTTCCCTTTCTCTCTTTTTCTTTCTTCTCTTTTTCTTTCTCCCCCTCTCTCTCTCTCTTTCTTTCTTTCATCCCTCCTTCCTTTTTTTTTTTTTCTCTTTGTGCTGGTACTGGGGCTTAATCTCAAGGTCTGGGTACTGTTCCTGAACTTTTTCAGTTCAAGACTAGTGCTCAATCACTTGAGCTACCCTCTACTTAATGGCCTTTTGTTGGTTAATTAAAGATAAGAGTTTTACACAGTTTCCTGCCTGGGCTGCCCAGGCTGGCTTTGAATTGCATTTCTCAGATCTCAGCCTCCTGAGTAGCTAGGATAAAAGGCAAGAGCCACTGGTGCCTGGCCCAATGTGCTGTTTCAAGCAGTAGTAACTCCTGTCCAGATGAACAGAGAAACCTGAGTTGTTCAGCCTGCCCGGCTGCACTGTGTGTCTAGCATTTACCAGTTCCAAATGCCAACTCTGCAGAGCTCTTACACCACAGGTAAATTTTATCATTTAATATGAAAATTCAGCTATCGTGCCTTTATTTCCTCTGATTCACAAAGTTCATACAAGCCAGGTTTGAGACTGACAGGGAAGAAAAGTTTTGTCCAAGTTTGAATACCCATTTATTTTTGTTTGTTTGTTCTGGTACTCCGGTCTTAGGCACTGTCCCTTAAATTTTCTTTTTGCTCAAGGCTGGCACTCTACTACTTGAGCCACAGCTCCACTTCTACCTCTTTGGTGTTAATTGGAGATAAGAGTCTCACAAACTTTCCTGCCAGGGCTAGCTTGACTCTCAGATCTCAGCTTCCTGAGTGGCTAGGATTATAGGCCTGACCCACTGGTACCTGGCTCTGCCCACTGATTTTTGGAGAGGGTATGGATTCCAGTTCCAATCTTCATCTAAATGCCTGACATTTACATGCAGAACTAGCATCTCATTAGAAGAAAGCATTATTTTTATATATATTTTTATGGCCTTACGAGAAGTAAAAACAAATCCTACTGCTATAAACTACATTGCCTTATGAGAGCTTTCCACTATGCATGAAATGGAAAAGGCCTGAGAATTTGGCAGCAGAGAAACTGGCTGGCTGTATTTAACATAGGGTCCTAAGTTTATTCAGTTGGGGCTTTCTCTGTGCTGCCCTTCACTTCTTGGGACTCTTGTTCTCTGGGGACTGATGACCTAGGGTCTAGCACGTGCTGGCCACACACACTACCACCTGAGCTGCACTGCCAACACTTTTTGTATTTTGTTTTGAGATGGGGATTTTATTAACTTGGCCCCAGATGGCTCTTCCCCAGTGATCTTCCTCACCTCCTCTCCCAAGTACCTCAATGCTTAATAGGGTTTTCTTTCTCATTATAATTGCTTCCTAAGTCACTATAAGATTCCACCTCTATGCCCTTCCCTAACTGTTGGGTTTAAGAGGGAATCTACTTCAAGGGCATGGTGGAATAAAGGACAGATGGAGGCCAGACAGGAGGGTAGTGGTGTTGTTGTTATTATAATTGTAGGAGGTATTTGGGGGCCTGAACTCAGTGCTTGGGCACTGACTGTTAGGTTTTTCACTCAGGACTAGTTCTCTGCCACTTGAATCTCAGTTCTTCTGGCTTTTTAAAATGATTAGAGGGGATAACAATGCTTGACAAAAATGTACTTATTACTTTATTGATGTAAACTGTAAACTCTCTGTATAGCATCTTTACAAAAAAATAAAAATTAAAAAAAAAATGGTTAACTAGAGATTAAGAATCTTACGGACTTTGCTGCCCAGGCTGGCTTTAAACTGTGATCCTCAGATCTCAGCCTCCTAGGCAGCTAGGATTACAGGCGTGAGCCACCAAGGCCTGGGTAGGAGGAACTTATCCCATGCCTTGGGCTATAACTTTCACTTGTCATAAGGTAACCTTCCCTCAGTACTCCAAAGGCACTTGGAATTCTACCAGGAACAAGCTCCTGGGAATATGTTGGCATTTACTAATTTTAACTTAGCACAAACTTCAAATCCAAAAAAAGGTAGTGGCGCAGATGTGTAATCTTAGCATATAGGAAGCAGAGGCAGGAGGTTGCTAAGCCCAAGATCAGCTCTGTCTGACCTTGTCTCAAAAACCTAAGAGCTGGGGATGTAGCTCAGTGGTAAATCTTTTGCCTAGCATGTGCAAGACTTGGGTTCTACCCTCAGAGCTGAAACAAAACAAAACTGATCTGGGTACTGGTGGCTCATGCCTGTGATCCTAGTTAGTCCTCAGGAGGGTGAGAACTGAGGATTCTAGTTCAAAGCTAGCCTGGGTAGAAAAGTGTGAGATTTTTTTATCTCCAATCAACCACCAAAAAAGCTGGAAGCAGCCAGGCACCAGTGGCTCATGCCTGTAATCCTAGCTACTCAGGAGGTTGAGATCTGAGGATCATGGTTCAAAGGCAGCTAGGCAGGAAAGGTCGTGAGACTCTTATCTCCAATAAACCACTCAGAAAACTGGAAGTGGCGCTGTGGCTCAAGTGGTAGAGCACTAGCCTTGAGCTGAAGAGCTGAGGGACAATGCCCAGGCCCAGAGTCCCAGATTTCAAGCCCCATGACTGACCAAAAAGAAAAAAAAAGCTGGAAGCAGAGCTGTGGTTCAAGTGATACAGTGCCAGCCTTGAGCAAAAAAGTTACAGGACACCACCCAGGTCCTGAGTTCAAGCCCCAGTACTGGCATGTGGACATACACACACACACACACACACACACACACACACACACACACACAAAGTGAAAAATGTGTAAGGTAATAAAGCACATAAAGCAAATGTGCCCCAATTTTAGCAATTTGTTAATTTGGGCAAAGAAGTATATGAATATTTTGAATCACAGTTCTTTAATGTTTTATGTAAATGTAACATGCACAAAATAAAAAGTTGGAAAAAAAGGAGAAATGTCAGAAACACAGCACTCACACTTTGGTACTCTTCTCCAAAGTGTGAGTGCTGTGTTTCCAACTCTGCTGAAGGACTTTATTCTTTCCAGAAAATACAGTGAATATGTCTAGCCCTTTTGAGTTCTGGTTCCTCAGGTACCACTTTTGGAAGCTGTCCAAGCTTGACTCTCTGAATATTGGTATCTCAGCCAGGATATGAAAGTCATTCCTTCTTTTACAGACCATTCTTTTAGACAGGAGTCAGTGATCATGGAAAGGTGAATAATAGGAAAATTTACAGAACAATGGAACTCTAAAGTAGCAGGAAAAGAAAAGTTAACAAAATTGCTTACCAAGAACAGATCTCGGATGAAGAACTTAGCTCTTGTAACTTTGGGGTCTTCACCTGCATCCGGTGTGGCTGGAGAAATTAAAAATGAAATTTTATTCAGCTGACATAAAGCAAAGATACTACAGCATAGGAACAAAGAAGGAATTACCAGTTGGGCTGCTGTATGTTCACAGCATTATGGCAAGGCAAACACGAAAATCAAATTTTCATTTCCTGATCCTCCCAAATGATTTTAATACTTACAGCTCTGAAAAATGGTTCTTTGGTAATGTTATGGGGACTGAATGTGTATATCCTCCCCAAATTCTTGTCTTACTTGTTTTTGGTACAATGGTATTACCAAGTGAGAACTTTGGAAGGGTGTCTAGGTAATAGGGACTCTGCCCTCATGATTTTTTTTTTTTTTTTGGGGGGGGGGGGGTTGGTCTTGGCACTTGAACTCTGGGCCTGGGCGCTGTCCCTCAGCTCTTCAGCTCAAGGCTAGCGCTCTACTACTTGAGCCATAGCACTACTTCCAGCCTTTTCAGTTTATATGGTGCTGAGGAATCAAACCCAGGGCCTCGTGCATGCGAGGCAAGCACTCTACCACTGAGCCACCTTCCTAGCCTGATTCTACCCTCATAAATGGAATTATTGTCTTGTAGTAGAGACATCTTCCATGTGCCCTCATGAATGGAATTGTTGTCTTGTAGTAGAGACATCTTCCATGTGAGACAGATAAAAGCAGACACCAAGAATGCTGGTACTGCTGGGCGCTGGAGGCTCACACCTGTAATCCTAGCTATTCAGGAGGTTGAGGACTGTGGTTCAAAGCCAGCTTGGGCAAGAAAGTCTGTGAAACATTTATCTCCAATTCATCACTAGAAAACTGGAAGTGGAGCTGTGGCTCAACTTGGTAGAGCACTAGCCTTGAGTGAAAGAGCTCAGGGATAGTGTCTAGGCCCTGAGTTCAAAAACAAAACAAGTAAAAAAGAAAAGAAAAAAAAAAAAAGAATGCGGGCACCTTCCTCTTAGACTTCTTAGCCTCTATAACTGAAAGTAAAATTTGTGTACAAATTACCCAGTCTAATGTATTCTGTTATAGCTACATACATGGACTAAGATAGCCTAGGGGCAGGTAACTTCTGCTCAAGGAGAATGTAAGCCACTTATTGAATGTTGACCAAATGGAGCTTTGTGGCTGTCAGCTTCCTGGTCTCCTGTGATCATCATGAGGCTGTGATTTTTCTGATGTCCATCTTTTGTCAGCCTCTCTCTTAGGAATAGTCTTTTTCCACACAGGCCTTTGACGTAGGAGAAAGTCAATAGCAGCAGACCACTCTGGCTGTCAGCCCAAGTTTTTTGCTGGGATTTTGGAGGTTGGGGGCTTGCAATGTTTTCTGTTTCCAGAGACCTGAATGAGAACTGGGCATTCACTGGCTTTCTTGAGGAATAACTTACTCATGCTAAACTAAACAATTGGATGAGGTTTGACAAATGACTTGTGAAATGATCACCTATGATCAAAATCATGATATACCCAACATTTCTGAAGGTGTCCCCGGGCCCTTCTGCAGCGCCGCCTCCACAGTCTCCTATTCAACTGCAGGCAACACTGGCATGTCCTCTGCTGCTCTGGATCCATGTGCATTTTCTAGATGTGAGGCGAATACACCCATGTGACCCATGGCCTTGCACCCCTTCATTCTACCATCACTGTAAGTTCTGTCTGTGTTTGCTTGCTAAGTCAGAACTGAGAACTATGGAATTGGATGGTCAAGGCTACCCCCAGGTACCAACCATGCCAGGGAGAGGTGGGTGCACAGAGTGATAGCACACGTGGTACCCATGTGGGCATTAGCCACTGGGCCTTGCCAGGTGGTCAGCAACTTGGGTCCCTTCAGCTACTCTTTGATCTTCCCTGGCTTGGCAGCTCAGCCTCGAAGCTGCTGGGGATAAGCGTAAGTGGGGTATGCTTATGCTTCAGAACGATAGCAGTGACACAAGTTCAGAGAATGTTTTAGAAAGGTGAGTAACCAGGTAGAAAGCTGCAGCAATCACTGAGATGAGGGTCAGGCCCAAGGCTGTGAGAGTAATAAAGGCAGATGCTGGGGAAGGGGATGTCTGTGGTGGTGCCACAGAACTCAGCTTCTGCCTGGCAATGAGGTGGGGTGGGGGTGGGAGGCGGTTCTAGGGAGAGGGAAAGGTTCAGCCTGCTGGCAAGACAATGGTACCAGTCTCAGCTCTGTGACAAAAGCCACTGTGCTGTGACAGCTTCCTGAGTCTGGGATTCAATCTTGACTCGGCCAGAGTCTCAGCACATGTTATTACCCAGAACTCCAGGTAGGAGCTGAGCTCAGACAGGGCCTGCACAAAGTATGTGCCCACCGGGACTGGTGATGACATGGGCTGCTGGCATTTTATGACAGAGCGGATCTATGAGCTGGGTGCTGGTGGCTCACACCCGTAATCCTAGCTCCTTAGGAGGCTGAGATATGAGGACTGAGGTTCAAAGCAAGTGTTGTCAGGAAAGTCCATGAGACTCTTATCTCCTATAAACTAACCCCCCCCCCCAACCCCCACAAAAGCCAAATAGCCAAAAGTGGAGCTCTGGCTCAAGTGGTAGAGTGCTAGCCTTGAGCAAAAAAGCCCAGGGCCAGCACCCAAGCCCCAGGACTAACATAAAAAAAGAAAGAAAGAAAAGAGAAGAGAAAAGAGAAGAGTGTCTGTGACAACAAAGCCAGAACTGGATCACAGGCCCCTTCCTAGTGGCTACTCCTTCTCACAAGGAATCATGTGCTACTAGGATTTTGTGGAAAGAATCAGCTTGGCTCAGGATTGACTTGGAATTTACTTACAGAGACCCACCATGATGGAGAAGAGAAACTTGAACATAAGGAGCAAGAAAGCAGGAAAGTTCATGATACTCCAATTAACCAGCAATAAAAAAAAAAGAAAGAAAAAAGAAAATGGAGCTCTGGCTCAAGTGGTAGAGTGCTGGCCTGAGTGGAACAGCTAAGGGATAGTGCCCAGGATCTAAGTTCAAGCCCCAGGACCAGCACACAACAAACACAAAAAACACTAGCACGTTAAGAATAATGCGTAAGTTTCCCTCAGACTGTGTGTATGAATAAGGTGTACAGGAAACATATACTTATGTTTGTGTTTAGACTTGGTTCCCATCCTCCAGATAACTCACTCCAAAATTAAAAATCTGTCCCCATTTTTTTTGGGGGGTCTGGTCGTGGGGCCTGAACTCTGGGCCTGGGCGCTGTCCCTCAGTTCTTCAGCTCAAGGCTAGCGCTCTACCACTTTGGCCACAGCACCACTTCCGGCTTTTTTTGTTTTGCTTATGTGGTGCTGAGGAATCGAACCCAGGGCTCATACACGCAAGGCAAGAGCTCTACCACTGAGCCACCTTCCCAGCCCCCTGTCCCCATTAAGGGACACAAATCTGCCCCAAATCCTTGCAGATGGAGTCACAGAAGAGAGTACTGACCTAAATTTGTGGAATTTCTCAGACTCATCAGACATGTTTGAATAACAGTATCAGGACTACTGAGAACCAACAATCTATTCCTCAATTGTGAGACCTGTTTTTTAAAATCTTACCATCTTCAGGAACAGTGTAATTTGCATACTCCGGGAAATAGTCTTCAATTTTTGACTTCCCTGCCAAGACTTTTTCTGCCAGCATATCCTGTTTGTTCAAGAACAAGATGATAGATATGGTCCGTAACCACCTAGAAAGGAAAAAATGGACACATAGATTTCACTTACATTAGTATACACTGTGTTGGAAAAGTATCTCTAACACTAAGATCATTTGGTTAAAAGGGAACAATTGGCCTAGTTCAGGGGTATACAGAGCTTGTGGAGTGCTAGGCCTGAGTTTGATCCCTAGGTCCACCTAAGGGAGGGGGAAGGTGGAGTAAGGGGAACACTGGAATAATTTGGAAACATACAGGAATCAAAATTGCTCAATATTCTTAATTACAAGCAGTCCTTTAACAGATTTCCCTTTAAAAAAACTTTTCTATAACTGTATTATTTGCTGTGTGTGTATGTGTGTGTGTGTGTGCATGTGCTGGTAGTGGAGGTTGAACTCAGGGCCTCATGCTCTCATTTGGCTTTTTTTGCTCTACTAACTGAACTATAGCTCCACTTGTGACTTTTTGCTAATTGGAGATTAGAGTCTGCTGTATTTTCCTGCCCAGGCTGGCTTCAAACTGCAATCCTAAAATTTCAGTCTTCAGAGTAGCTGGGATTACAGGTGTGAATTATCAGCTCTCAGTTTGTTAAATATTTCCTTCCTTCCTTCCTTCTTTCCTTTTCTGCCAGGGTTTGAACTCCAGGTCTTGTGATTTTCTACCACTTGAACCATACCTCCAGCACTGCCTTTTGCTGATTGTTTTGGAGATGGAGTCAAGTAACCTTTTGCTGGTTAATTGGAGTTAAGGGTCTCTTGGATTTGTCTGCCTGGTGTGGCTTTGAACCACAATCCTCAGATTTCAGATTCCTGAGCCATTGGTGCCCAGATTGTTTTTTTGATATGATTGTCTTATTGTGTTGTCCAGGCTTTCTTTGAATAACCATCTTCCCAATCTCAGCCTCCCAAGGAGCTAAGACTTATAGGTATGAGCCACCATGCCCAGCTTAAAATAGAATGTAAATATAGTATAAATTATAATGTAAAATGACTTTTCCATAATCTTAACTTATAGAAAAATACATAAAAATCAAATGTAATTACAGAGACAATTATGATTATAGCTTTTATGTTTCTATGTCTAAGGTTTTTATTTTTATTTTTTGGTTTTTACAAATATTTATAAAAGTAAAAAAATAAGATCTTTTTTTGAGTGGTGTTTGCATGTACATATACATGTGTGTGTGTGGTACTGAGGATCAAATCTAGGGCCTTGTTTATGCCAGGCAAGTGCTCTACCACTGAGTTACAACTGTCCCTATATGACTAAGTGCATATGCATATGTGTGTATGTGAGTGCATGTATGTACTAATTTATAATGTTTTCAAACCATTCTTCCAGAGTCCAGGTGTTTCCTGACCTTCTTTCTCACTCCCTCTTTTTATTGTTATTATTAAGGAGTTGTACAGAGAGGTCATAATTCAGTAAGTCAGGTTATGAGTACAGTACTTCTTGGGCAAGGTTACATTTTCCTTTGCTATTCCCCATTCTCCCTCCTGTCCCTATCCATAAGTTACATAGTTCATTTTTTACATAGTGTATATTGAATATAATGACTGCATTTTCTCACCCCTCTTCCCTCAATTCCTGTGCTCCTACTAACTGTCTTCATACCCTAACATTTGTAGTTCAATACTTGGTAGAGAAGTGCTTTCCTAGTAATGCAGACCTTTTGCAAGGTCAGTTTCTATTTTCTATCTTCCTTGCTGTATTTCTTCCTAAACCATTCAGAAGAGACTCTGGTTTAAGCTATATAAGTCTGCATTGGTCTGGCCATTCCTTTCTGACAACCACTTCTGACACTTGGCTATACTAAATGGTGTCACATAGACAATGTCAGACATGTGGCTTTTGGATGAGAAGAATCTTAAAGACCACCTAGCTCTGATTGAATGTTCTAAACTGGATTCTAAAATTTTGAAAGTAAATAAGCTGGGTCTGATAGTACAGACTCACAATCCCAGTGACTCAGAAGGCCGAGGCAGGAAGACTGTAGTTATCCAGCTTGGATAACACATGAGATAATGGTGTCAAAAAAAGGAGCTGGGAACCTTAGCTCTCAAGAAGCTAAGATCTGAGAACTGAAGTTCAAAGGCAGCTAAGGCAAACAAATCTAAGAGACTCTTATTCCAATTTAACAGCAAAAAGTTGGATGTGGAGGTATGGCTCAAATGGTAGAGTGCCAGCCTTGAGCATTAAAGCAAGAATTTGAGGTACTAAGTTCAAGCCCCAGCAATGGTAGTGAAAAACAAAAACAACAACAAAAAACCCCCCAACATACCACTCCAGTTTTTAACTCCAGATATAATCTCAGGCTTTTATAATAGATTTACATTTTCTTGACAAAGCATAGAACTTCCTTAAAAGAAAATCCTCATTTGAAGTATGCCTGTACTTGAAACAGTTTAGTATTATCAGTTACTAGAGTATATTACTTGAAACTTTTTTTTTTTGAGACAAGAGGTCCTACTGGCCATGAGCTTGCGATCCTCTTCCCTCAGCTTTGAGCGTGTTAGGATTACTCAAAAAATATTTTAAAATAAAAAGCAGATCTTCAATGTTCTGAGTTTAATTAATTAATTAACTTTTGCCAGTACTGAGGCCTGAATCCAAGACCTTGTGCTCTTGCTTTAATTTTTCTGCTTACAGCTGGTGCTCTATCACTTGAGCTTTGACTCCATTCCTGTTTTATTTTATGTTTTTACTAGGTTTTGAACTCAGAGTTTTGCACCTGTTAAGCAGGTATGCTTCCACTTGAGCCGCACACCCTCCCATCCCTCTGATTTTTTTTTTTTTTGAGAGTCTTAGGGCTTGAACTCAGAGCCTGGGCTCTGTCCCTGAGCATTTAAAAAAATATAATTCTATTATTATTGTTAAGGTATTACACAGAGTGTCCCTGAGCTTTTATGCTCAAGGCTAGTGCTCTACCACAGTTCCTCTTCTGCTTACAACAGAAGATGGTTCTTTGGAGATAGGAGTCTCACAGACCTTTTTGAATTGGGCTAGTTTTGAGAAACAGTCCTCAGATCTCAGCTTCCTGAGTAGCTAGGATTTCATAGGTGACCCAATGGCACCAGCTGAATATATTTTTAATAAAAGAAGACCTGTGATCCAGTGGTGAGTCTGAATTTATTGTTTTTATAACCTGTTGTTCCAGATGCTTTCAAAAAGGTCCAGCGATTCTCTCAGTCTGTTGGTGTTGTTGTCTTCCCGGATAACCATGTTGTAGCTACTGCAGGCGGCCACATAAATGATCGCGGTGACATCTTGTGGGCAGGAAGGGGAGAAAGAAGGAAGCACTGTAGTTGGACAATGGTAGTCACTGTGGGGTTAGGGTCAAGGACAAACTCAATAGCTATTCAGATCCAGGACTTTGTCACTTCACTCAGTGATATAAGAATGACTTGACCACAGCTGTGAATAACTGGCTGCTGCTCCACACATCTTTGGTGTACCCCAAAGATGAATGTAAGTTTGGGATGCTTAAGTGCTTTACTTATGAGAGCCCCATTTAAGGAAAGAGCACCTCGTCCATCAAATGCTACATTTCTCAAACTAGTTATACTAGAGAGCATCTGACTCAAAAGCAGTTAGATCTAGAGCAGTGGTGAGTCAAGAGCCCAGTGCCCCGGCGCCTTGAGAGTGTGACAATCACCATTGAAGCACTGAATCCACTTTCTTCTCTCATCCCTCTGGCCACCAACATCGAACATGCTGTGGAAGAACAACAGGAAGAGCACTGGTTATTTAGGAAAGCAAAGGGACTATTTTTTTTTTTTTTGGTGCCAGTCCTGGGGCTTGAACTCAGGGCCTAGGTATTGTCCCTGAGATTTTGTGCTCAAGGCTGGCACTCTATCACTTGAGCCATAGATCCACTTTTAGCTGTGTATTTGGGTTGTCTTTGAACCTTGCTGTTTAGATATTAGCCTCCTAACAGCTAGGATGACAGGTGTGAGCCAACGATGCCCAGAAGGGCACCATGTTTTACTTTTCTCCTCTGCTATCAGTATGTTCAGCAGCACATCATGCCAGCTGGGTACCATCAGTCCTGTGTGATTTCAGCCTCCCGGTAAGGCACTTCAAGTTCTCTCCTCTTATCTACAGCATGGCTGTAGGGGCCTAAGATCAGGCAGAGGGGAGGTGGCTCAGTATTTCAGTGACACATACTAGTTGCTTAATAAATGCAGAGGTTTCTAGTTTACATGTCTTACTCAGACATCTAAACCTCTCCTAGTACACGTCAAGTCTACTGCAAGGGCTGTTCTGGTGACTTGTCTCAGCTCTTAGGCCACTCTCTTCTGGATAGTGAGAGAATCTCCTTTCTCATCTTGCTACATCCACAGCCCCTCTGTTAGCAGATCACTAAATGCTCTCCTCAGAGATCTGCAGTGTGATGAGCTACACTGACAACTCATTCTCGACCACTGCCCAGCCCCAAGCTGTGTGCCTACCCCAGTTTTCTCTGCCATACCTTGCAGTTCACCAGGCCTGGCCCATCTACTGGCCTGTCTGTGCAGTACACTCCTTTACACGAGCCATGCTTCCCTGTAGGAGATTCTTTTTCTACCTGCCCCAATTCCAACTTTCCCAGGAGGCTGTAGCTCTGAGACCTCTCTTCCCTAAACTTGAAAAGACAACCACATAGCCATGCCAAGGACCGCAGATTATAATCTGCATGCTTAACCTTAGCACATGCAGGGCATGCCCAGTTCTGGAGAAGTTCATTTCGAAACAAAAGCTCCTTCTTGTCAGGCACCCGTGGTTCATACCTGTAATCCTAGCCACTCAGCAGATTGAGATTTGAGGATCAGGAAGGTGTTTGAGTTTTATCTCCAATTGATCACCAAAAAGTCAGAAGTGGAGCTATGGCTCAAGTGGTAGAGGGCCAGCCTTGAGTGAAAAACTTAAGGGACAGCACTCAGAACCTGAGTTCAGCCCCAGTACCAATATGTGTGTGTGCACGCACACATGCACAAAGAGCCATTATCATCATCAACAATAGTAAATCTCAAATGTTATTTCTGTGCAAAACTTCACTGTGAATGATCCCCTATTCCACATCATGCCAGCTTGGTGGCGCACTGTGCAGGTCTCATGACAAATATGAACCTAGCACAGTTTTATCCAGGCCATCCATCCTGATAGTAGCATTATTCTGGGCTCTAGGGAGACCCAGATATAGTGCACATCACCTGTGTACCGAGAGACTGCTGGACCACACAGAACACAGAGCTCCAGATCTAAGGGATCCCTCCATCTATTTGTCAAGTCAAACATACATCAGACATGCTGAGAGTAACTTGGAAAAGGACAAGGCGGGGTGGCATCAGGTCTGGGGGTGCACAGTAGATGATGGAGAAATTCCAGGAGTCACTGTGGGCTTGGATTTGAAAGGCACTTTGACAAATCTGTAGGGTTTGCTTGGCTTTCACAGCATTTGGGACTCAGAGAAAAGGAACAGCAAAAGCACTGTGGCAGAAGAGCCTGGTGAAATCTGAACATAGACATAGTCTAACCTGGTAAGGCAGGTAGCAGGAAGAGGGGAGAAGCCTGGGTTACCTGGTAAAGGCTATTTTTTTTGTAAATAAAGGATCAGCAATAGCCCTTGCGTCCTTTTCTGAACAGATAACAGGATACTAGGTATATGGTGCTTCAAGAAGCTTCATTTTGTGACAGTGAGGAAGACTGGAGATGGGTTAAGGCAGAAGAGGGAGAAGAGCCAGCCCCTGCTGTTTTGGTCAGGGTGGAAAGTCAGTGGGACTGGAGTCTTAGTCTTAGTGCTGTAAGGAATGAAAGATTTTGTGGAGAGAGAATTGACTTTTTGTCACAGGGAGAAAACTAAAGAAAATAAGCTCATTGAGTGGCTGTGTGTGGACAGCCTGAGGATCCTACTGGTGACAAGTTGTTATTTGCCTGGCACTGGTGGCTTGTGCCTGTAATCTTAGCTCCTCAGGACGCTGAGATCTGAGGATCAAGATTTGAAGCCAGCCTAGGCAGAAAAGGCTGTGAGACTTGTCTCCAATTAACACGGGAAAAAAAAAAGAAAGCTAGACATGGCTGTAAGGTTCAACTGGTAGTGTCAGCCTTGAGGGAAGCAAGAGAGGCTCCTAGTTCAATCCTTAGTACTGGGATGCGCGCGCGCGCACGCGCACACACACACACACACACACACACACACACACACACACACACACACACGTTGCTATTTTCATCTCTCAAACTCCTGACTTAATAATAAGGGCCAAGGGCAGATCAGGTAGGGGAAAAGAATTTTCCTTTTAGGCTTTAGCCTTTCCTTTAGCAAGTGGTAACAAGAACATTGAACCCTTGCTGGAATCAAAACCCTTCAGCAGAAAGAGTCGGGCTTCCCATTCCTTGGCTGGCCTTTCTCCACCCCAGCTCCTAGAGCTTCCCATTCCAGAGCCCACCCTGCACTCCCAGCTGGGTCTGGAATTTCTGCCAGCATCCCTGTCACAGCCGTGCTATTATCTATATACTCACTGGAAGTTCACTTTATCCACCTGGAATCGTGTCTCAAAAATTCCTGATGTCAGCACTCTGCATCTAAGGAGGTCCTGGAAGCAAGAAGACAAAAGCAAGCAGAGCCTTGGAGTAACTACAGTAACTGAAATTTCATAGGACACTTATAAAGAACAAAATAAAGCAGTAACAACGAAAACCTCCGACAATAAAACTGCTTTATTCTCCAAGAATGCCTCTTTACAACTAATGGCACAAGTTAGTCCTTAAAGAATGATTTAACTGCTAGACACGGGTGGCTCACATCTGTAATCCTAGCTACTCAGGTAGTTGAGATCCAAGGATCCAGTTTCAAAGCATCCTGGGCAGGAAAGTCCATGGGACTCTTATTTCCAATTAACCATCAAAAAGCCACAAATGAGGTGTGGTTCAAGTGACAGAATGCCAGTCTTGAGCAAAAAAGCTAAGAACTGTGCTAAGGCCCTGAGTTCAATTCCAAGTCTCTCTCTCTCTCTCTCCCTTTCCCTCTCTCTCTCTCTCACACACACACACACACACATTTTTATTTCCCTTCTGACTTTTGAAAAGTGACTCACACACACATGCATCTCCCATCTTGCTGGCTTCTGTGCACCTGACAACCAAACCCTAGTGCTTAGTGCTCTGAGGAAAGCATTTCTGCCTACTCTGGAGGCCACAGTTTGAGTGAAGCATTTATAACTCATGGATCCTCTGGCTGGATGTGATTTGATTTCAGATTTGCTCTCTTCCTTGCATTAGTTCTATTATCTCAGATCAAAGTGTCATGGCCCTGAGAGAAGAAGGACTAGAAAGCCATATATGTTTACCAAGTTGACATTGCTGATATCCTGTGAAGATATCAGGCTTGTTTTCTTACCACCAGATCTTTTATGTTGATGTTACCACAATAATTCTAGAAGTTGAGAGGTCTTACCATTTCAGCAGAATGAGAAGTGTTTAGAATAGCCTGGACAGGTTATGAAGAATATGAAGCCCAGACACTGTCAAATTACTTTGGAGGGGAGGAAGAGAATGGTAGACCAAGAACACATGGCCTCCAGGGGAGGTAAATGCTAAGGGAATTTGGAGGGTTGCTTTGAATGGAGACCCTATTTTCCTTGAGGTTCACTAGCTCTAGAAAGCACACAGGGCTCCTGAATTGAGCTCCCAAGGGCTTTCCAGTCTCTAAAGATAGCTGAAGGTTGGAGGGGAATGGAAAGTCCCTTAGTGCTTTTTGAAATGTACACATGGTTTCCTTTTCAATCCCAGGGAGACACTCTGGCCACTCTGGCACACCCTGGAGAATGTTCTGTGGTATGAGACCCAGCCCTAGGGCTCTAAGCAGAACAGACCCAGTGTACAAGGCAGGTGGGGCCCAGTTTAAGAGGGGCTGGGGCCTGGCTTTGCTGCTGATGGCCCAGGAAGCCCAGTCACCTGATGCTTTTCTGCACTGGCATGTTAGAGCTCTACTAGGTTCTAGAGCACCAAATTGGGACACAAGGCTCAGGATTTGGTGTCACATGTAAGGGCAGCCCCACGAGGTGCAAGCAGTAGTATTTAGGGGAATGTTTTCCTTCACTCTGTGTGTGTGTGCGTGTGTGTGTATGTGTATGTGTGTGTGTATGTGTACAGGTACTAGAGCTTGAACTCAGAGTCTGGACGCTGTCTTTTAATTTTTTTGCTCAAGGCTGGTACACTACCACTTCAGCTACCACTCCACTTCCAGCCTTTTGGTGGTTAATTTAACATAAGAATGCCATGAACTCTCCTGCTCAGGTTGGCTTCGATCCTTAATCCTCGATCCTCAGAGCTCGGTCTCCTGAGTAGCTAGAATTTTACAGGTGTGAGCCACCAGATGATCATCTATTTCCGATAATCCCTGAGTGGTGATGGAAATCAGTCTGAGAAGCTTAAAAATGGTAGTGGTGAGTGTGAATCACGTACCTGGTCTGTGGGTGTGTAATCCACCAGGCTGACACTGTCGATTCTCTCCAGGAAGCTGCAAAGAAAGGCAGATATGTTCAGAACCATCTCTGCCCACCCTCTCCTGGGGTTGAGTTATAACAACAGGAGTGCAGCGAGGACAGGGCACAGGCCAGGAGCCAGGGGCAGCTTCTGTCCTCCCTCCGGAGTGTGGACCTGTGCAGAGAACACAGCATTCTGACAGAAGGCGAAACCTGCATTTGGTTTGGCTTTTTATGTTCATTTCTGTCTTCTTCCTTCCTGTGTGTCCTGTAAGGTTGAGGGTGGCAGATACTTGGAAACAAGGAGGGACGTGGAGCCTTACTTTAAGGCCAAACTGTAGAAGATTTTGCAATATAAGTTAAAAAAGAAGTTAGGCCCCAATGGCTCAAGCTTGTAATCCTAGCTACTTGGGAAGCAGAGATCAGGGGATTGCAGTTAAGAGGTGAGGGCAAGCATATAGTTCCTTTAGAGCCATCTCAGTCAATGGCTCCGTGAAGTTGCCCAGACCTGTTATTCCAGATACAAAGGAAACACAATGGCTGGACACACTGGTGTGAGCCTGTCATTCCCAGCAACGCAGGGAAGCACAAGTAGGAGGATCACAGCCTAGGCTGGCCTGGGCAAAAAGTCTAGAAAATAACCAATGCAGGCCAGGTACTGATGGCTCATACCTGTATTCCTAACTGCTCAAGAGGCTGAGATCTGAGGATCATGGATCAAAGCAAGCCGTGGCAGAAAAGTTTGTGAGATTCTTCGATGAATCACCAAAAAAAGCTGGTAGAATGCTAGCCTTGAGAGAAAAAGCTAAAGGACAGTGCTTAAGTTTTGAGTTTAAGCCCTTGTACTGGCACAAGAGAAATAAAGAAGAAAGAAAAATAATTGGTGCAAAAGAGGGGCTCTGGGGTGTGGCTCAAGTGGTAGAGCTCCTACCCTGCAAGTGCCAGGCCTTGAATTCAAAGTGTACTGTTGCCAAAAGGAAGAAGGATGAAGAGGAGGAGAAAGAGGAGGAAGGGGAGGAGGAGGAGCAAGTGGCAGCAGTGAAAGTGGAAGAGGAGGAGAAAGAAGAAGAGGATGATGATGAGGAGGAGGTAGTATTAGAGGAGGAGAAGGAGGTAGTATCGGTGGTAGTGGTGGAGGTGGTGGAGGAGGAGGGGGAGGAGGAGGAGCAGCCGGGTACTGGTGGCTCATGCCTTGAATCCTAGCTACTCAGGAGGCTGAGATCTGAGGATCATGGTTCAAAGCCAGCCTGAGCAGGAAAGTCTGTGAGACTGATCTCCTATAAACTACCAGAAAACTGGAAGTGATGCTGTGGCTCAAGTGGTAGAGCACTAGCCTTGAGCAGAAGAGAGCTGAGGGACAGCGCCCAGGCCCAGAGTTCAAGCCCCACGACTCACAACAACAACAACAAAAAAGAAGATGAGAAAGAAGGAAGGAAATAGAACAGAAAAAAGGAAGAACCAGATAGGTATTTATTTAAATTTATATTATTATTATTATGATTGTTATTATTTTGGTGATGGTACTGGGGCTTGAACTCAGGGCCTTGCACAAATTTTCCTTTAATTGTGTGTGACTATAAAAGTTTACGAATGTGAGCTTGTGTAGCGGTATGTGTGCATATTTGTGAATGTGTGTTTGTGTGTATGCTTGTGGCTGTGTGAGGATGTGTGTGCTAATGACTGAAATTTTGTGTCAGGGATTGTGCCAGGTGACCTGACATGGCCCTTGCGTCAAATCCTTGTCATGTAGGGTCACAGGCTGCCTCTGCCTCCTCCTCACAGAGGTGGACACCTGTCCCAAGCATCACCTGGCCATCTCCGTGGGCATCTCTGGGTGGCCTGTCTCTGCTGGTTCACAGAGCACTTACTGAAGAGTTCAGGGACTGGTTGACAGAACCCATCTCTGAAGGAAGAATAGGGGCTTCTGGAGAGAGAGCAAGGAACCAGGGCAGGTCTGAGCAACCCCTGCTCTGTGGCTAGGCCAGGTGGGCACTAAAGTATTGAAAGGGAAGTCTCTGGCCCAGAGAGATGCAGGTAAATAGGTGAGTGCCGATGACCTTTCTGTCAATCCTGGGCAGTCAGAACTGTCCCTTGGTATTTGTGGTAAGGTGACAGCATGTTCTCTAAGTCATGTGCACTTGGGCATTTTGTCTTGTGAAACTGCCTTTGCTTGTCACCTTTTAGAGCCCTGGGTAGATGTGTAAGAGGTCAGCTGCAAGTCCTGTTCCCTCTTTTACAGAAACAAACAGGTCATTTTTATGAACCAACACTTGGCTAAAGAAACAGAACAACCACTTAGTTTCCCTTGCCATCTCAACTCATCTCCCTTCCTTTCCCTTCCCTTCCCTCCTCTCCTCTTCTCTTCTCCTTTCCTCTTTCCTCTGTCTCTGTCTGTCTGTCTCTGTGCCCGCTGGTCCTGGGGCTTGAACTAAGGCCAGTGCTCTACCACAGCTCCACCTCTAGATTTTTGGTAGGTAACTGGGAGATAAGATTCTCATAGAACTGTGATCCTCAGATCTCAGCTTCCTGAGTAGCTAGGATTTCAGGCATGAGCCACCAGTGCCTGGCTCAGCAACTTCCCTCTGAGAAGCTAGTGACAGTCCCTGTTGGTACTGCAGTGACATTTTGGCAGCATCTACCCACGCACCCCTAGGTGCAGCTCAGTTGCAATTAGGGAGCCCTAGCTGTAGATGAGAAATGAGCAGAATGTACAAAGGAGAAGGACCGGATCTACCAGTATTAGGAGTGGCCTGCCAGAGGGACAGAAATGGTAGGGACAACTGGACCTTGCTGGTCAGGAATGGGAATAAGGTATGTCAGCTGGAAGAACAAAGGAGGCTTTGAACCACCATTCTTAGATTTCAGCCTCCTGAGCAGCTAGGATTACAGATGTGGGCTACTAGCATCTGGCTTATTCCAAGTTCTTGATCCTTGAAAAAGAATAGAGCAAAGAGACTTTGGAGTCTATGATAAAGTGAGAAAAATGTCATCCCTAGAGAGGACAGAGACTAGATTGTATTCCAGACAATCGTATTCCTCCCACATGCCTCTTGTGCCTTGATCATTTGATTCAGACATGTTCTGTCCTCCTGACCTGGCAGAGTGATGAGCATGTGACTCTGAAAGGAAGCAGCTCCAACCAGAAGGGCTGGAAGGAGCTTGAGATGAAATCAAAGTTTGTGGCTTTAGAGTTTAGGAAGTAACCAATTTAAACTGGGATGAGCATAGAGTAGCTAGAGATAGGTGGGTGAATTTGTTCACAGGATAATAACTATGTAAGTAGGAAGAATGAAATATGGTAACAAAAAGTACATCTAAGGTTCCTGAAAGATGTAATTAAACACTGCCTTCCAGAGGAAGTAGTGGGAGGGAGGTGGGAACCTTTCTGATGCTATTAATGATGCATGGCTCAGACATGCTAAGGACAAAGGCAAAGGTGAAGTAGCAAAGGTGTTAGCCTCCCCCCACCCAATTCCTTATGGGTATTCTAGGTCCTCCTAGAATTATTACATAGAGATGAATTTTAAAAGGATCTTCCAGGTCATACTCAGAACTTGAGCACATAAAATACATTTTGAGGGGTTATAACACTGTCTCCTTAATTATGCTGCCACATACTATTTAGAAAAATTAAGCAAGCTTGGTGCCAGTAACTCCCGCTTATAAGACTAGCTACTCAGGAGGCTGAGATTTGAGAACTGCAGTTTGAAGAGAGCCTGGTGAGACAAATCCAACAATTAACCACCAAAAAGCTTGAAGTGGAGGTATGGGTCAAATAGCAGAGTGTCAGCCTTGAGTGAAAAAGCTAAGAGAAAGTGCTCAAGCTCTGAGTTCAAACCCCAGCACCTGCAAAAAAAAAAAAAAAATAAAAACAAACAAAATGCAACCAACAACCAACCCAACAAAATACAAAACAGAAAAAGTAAGCAAATCTTAAGAATATCTCTGGCAAACTATTCAGCTCCAATATTGTATTCAGAGTTATAAAACTCTAGCAAATTGCAACTGTTAAAAACCCTCTATAGAAAAGTAGTTGAAGGGCCATCTTGTTTCAACTTTTTCATTATTTCCTGCTACAACTGAAGATACATGTTTGCAGAAATGTTTTTATTCTCATCCCTGTTTGATACAGCAAAAAACTCCACAAAAAACAAGAACAAAAGAAAAAGCACAGACAACCATTTCCTCTCCCAATAGCTACCAATCACTGATCATGTTTCCTCTGTTGTTTGCTTTCACCCTAGAATAGCTTGAAACTTGTTCTTTTGAGTTCTCTATAGCTCAGTTATGGTCAGGGAGATGGCCGCTGTATGATGCAAGGGCAATCATGAAAAATGAAAACTAGTCTGTGAAATACTGTTCTAATTACAGCACTGAAATTGAGAAAAACCCAATTAAATGTCTTTACCATATATTTTAAATAACTTCTTCCTTTTCTTTTGAACTCAGGGCCTCACAGTTGGTAGTTAGGTACTGAACCCCACTTGTGTGTGTGGCAGTATTAGGGCTTGAACTCAAGGCCTTGCCTTCTTGCTTAGCTATTTTGATGGTTATTTTTAACTTGAGCCACAGCTCCATTTCCAGCTTTTTGCTGGTTAATTGGAAGTAAGAGTCTCATGGGTTTGTTTTCCAGAGATGGCTTTGAATCTTAATCCTCAAATTTTAGCTTTCTAAATAGCTAAGATTACAGGTATGAGCCACCAGAGTCTGGTTTAAGTGATTTGAGAAAAAAATAGACCAATTGAAATTTTATCAAGGCAAATAAGTTTTCTATTGCATGTTCCTGAGATTTTTTTTTTTTTTTGGTCGGTCGTGGGGCTTAAACTCTGGGTCTGAGTGCTGACCCTCAGCTCTTCAGCTCAAGGCTAGTGCTCTACCACTTGAGCCACAGTGCCACTTCTGGTTTTCTGGTGGCTAATTGGTGATCAGAGTCTCACCGACTTTCCTGCCTGGGCTGACTATGAACCTCGATCCTCACATCTCAGCCTCCTGAGTAGCTAGGATTACAAGTGTGAGCCACTAGTGCCTGGCTGAA